AACCCTAAAAGACTGCCAATATCTACCAATGCACACCACGAAACATCGTTTGAAAATCGATCCCTCTTTAAGCCCTCTTTGAGCCAGGAGACTGTCTACCCTGTTGACTAGGCTGACGTGGACGGCTGGCTTGCTGGACAAAACAGGAAACTTATGCATGCACAATAACTTCAATTTGCAAAGTGCCACATACCTGCTTATACAGAGGGCTTCAACGTCCAGGCTAGGTGCTTTTATTTGAGTATCAACACTTGATCGTCATCTAATACACCAATCATTTACCCCCATAAAGTCATGTCAATAAACCAACAGCGACATTAGGCTGGCTACATTGAGGCGGTCGAAATCGAGAACATGACTAAATACGCCTCCAAGCACATCGACCACATTGAACATTGCTTCATTGCAGCCTCCATGATTTGTGCAGATTTCGTGACGACTCACGTCTATCAAAAGAAATTTCAGCATCAAGACGTCGTGCTTCATCCCAGATCACGTGTTGGTTGGTCCCCTGATTCTCCCTAAGACACGGTACAATTGATCGGCGGACCCTGCAGGTCTCCCGTTCCCACCCGCACCTCACGGCTTGCGATAAGGTTCGTCTGCCCAGCCCTTCCAGCATCGAGCGTGGGCAGGAAAAATGCAGCGCATGTAGATCGCGTAAACGCGTGTCGTTCCGAGTTCAAAACACGTAAACGTGTTGATGCGTGGGAAGACCCCTTATTTGCCGGCAGCAGAACCTCCACGGCTTGCGCATACTACAACTCCATGGGACACCGTGGCAATGCAGCTGCTTTGCACATTCGCGAGAAGAAATCTCAGCTAACCGGTGTATGGGAGGATTCCGCACGCATAACAAACATTGAAGGCCTAAATAAGGCCTGAATATCGCGAGTGGGAAAATGGCGCCGGCTAGGCTGTAACCGCTTGGCGGCGAGCAACCTGCCACCTCGAAGCTGGGGTTTCTTCTGCTAAGAGCCCGCATGGACCAATGCGCCAAGTACTGAATTTCTTCTTCACCGAACTGGATGCGTCTGCAAGAAAACGCCAACAGCCTGACCTGCCTCACGTGGGGGGAAACAGCGCCCAACGCTTGAGAAATGTGCTAATTCGTTGGCGGCTGGTGGCTCAATGAATGCGGAAGGTGTGCCGACCAAATGTCTCAGAGATTCAGATGGAAGCCATGTACGACAATGCCTTATGGGTGTGTCTTAAGATACGTTGCAAGACCGTTCTGGCCCGGGCATTATCAACCGGCTAGATTGATCCGAAGGACGCTTATGCTCGACAAGTATGGAACGCGGGTGGTGCCCGCGACAACTGATAGTGATGCCGTAAACGGCCAACCGCGATTGAGTTTTTGACAGGTCCTAATTTTCAAGACCGAGATCGAGGCCATCCCAGAGGGCAACGAATCACGCTGTGGTCGTGAATACCGTTCTCAGGACTTTTCTTGTTGCCGCTCTTCTTGTCGGATATCAGACCCGAGACAAGACCGTAGAGGAGGATCTTCTTGAAGATAATAGACGGATGAGTTCCGAAAATCCAAGGCCAAGCTTGCAGGCTCGTAGGATCACGGTGCACCAGCGCACGGGTCGATCGCATGCGGATTGGGCTGGCCGGGCCGGTCCCCCCATGGAGCGGAAGACTACTACTTGGGTAGACAGTGTGATTTTCCCTACGCGTCGTGGGGTACGGTAATATCCAGACGATTTGATCAACAGCACAGTCACGACCTCTCGACTGAGGCGTCGTTGAATGAGCCTGACAAAGGTATGGGACCTTAGGTAGGTAACCAGCAAAGTACAGGATTGAAGCAAGACACTGGTGACTTTGTCAGCAGCTGCTGCCCGGGTGATGAGGCGGCAGCTATCGGAAGCCGGTCCTATTATTCTGCAATCATTCTAGAGGTGCTCGGCATTGTTGGTGCTAACGAGGTTTCATGTATTGGAATCTTGGTGTCTCGGCACATTGGACCCTGGAGATGTGTGGCTGAACTCAATCCCGACGCCACGAAGGCCCAAGATGCAACATTTCTATCGTCAAGCACCGGATCTGTATTGATGTAGTCCAAGCAAGCCATCGAGTATGAACGCTTGAGATCGCTACGCCAGGAACCACATCGTTCCTGGATTCATTGAGGTGTACACGACATGCATTGACCGCAAACACTCTTGGGCAAAAGGAGAAGGAGATCCCATCAAACCCGAGGTCCGAGATCTCGGCCTGCAACGGAAACGCCCAAGCCAGAGGAATGCCTGTCGTGAAGCTCGTTATGGACAGCTTGTACTATATGCGAGAAATGCCAAGGCCCGACGGCGATGAGGTGGTCAATATCAAGAGCAAGAGTGATTGCCAAGACTCAAGGGAGTGGCGAGGTGATCCGTTACCTGACGATAGGAGGGAGTGATCTAGCGTGGTCAAGTCTGCAAAGATGTGTCCGATAAACCGGTGGATCGAGATACAGATTCCGAACAGACAAGAGAATTGTGACCTGTCATTACATCTCCTGCACCCAAAATGCCTTGTGCAGACCTACAGGCTAGGGGTCTCACAGCACAGACACCCGACCCCAGACACCCACTTTGCACTGGAGACGGTTCCTCCCTCAGTGCGTCTTAGCCCAGGCCGAGCTTTCGACGGCAGAGGGAAGCACTAAACGTTTTCAATCAACCCTCATCACTGCTGTGTAGCATGGTGAAAAAACTCGGCCCGATGAGCACTGGACGAGACGGACTGGATAGATGCCGGCCAAGTGCGGGGGGTGTTTTCAGCACCTTCGTCAATACCTACATTGGTGAAGAAGAGCTGGCGGGGTTCATGCAAGCTCGAAGTAGGGTTTCCGAGGCGCAGACGAATGGTTTGCAGTACTCTACGGCCAGATGTCATGATCAGAAGTCCTCGAATCTGTGAGTTGAGCAGGAAGTCTCCTCGTAACTTGCGACCAGCACCTTGCACTCAACATCATCGACGTGTCAGGGCGAAACAGGAGTCTGGCACGGGACCTGACCGCCCTTCAGAGTATCGTCTGAATGCATGGCTGCAGAATCGGGTTGTTCAGAAGCAGTATTCAATACCATGGTGATCAAAGCGGTGGAGTCGCCAATTGGCCGAGATGGTTCAGTGACAGGTCTGATCTAGACCTTTTTGGTTCGTCCGCAAACACATTGTGGATGGGCGGGCTGGGTGGCGCAGGGGCGAACTTCCATTGAACGCCACCTCGCTCCTACTACCTGTGGATGTCGCAGACATGTTCTAGGGTCAAGAGAGAGAGAAACAAAGGCAACAGCCCCAAGGCATACTGGATAGTATGGTGCTGCTGAGCCAGCATGGATGCAGTTGAGGGTTGTATGTATGGCTGTAGTCCTTGGGATAGGAGACAGCCAGTGGATGTTGTGATCGACACGGTCCGTGGAGCATGGTGTCGAGACAGAAAAGTTTGGACCCTCGAGACTCGGAGAACCCTTGTTGTCCTGTTTCTGGATGCTGGCAGCCGGAAGACAATCATCCGGCTTGCAGTGCAGTGCCAGTGGCAGAATTGGCAGAAATGCATGTCTCACTGAGCAAATTCGACGCTGAAACAGAACGGATTGTCATCCATTAGAGCACGCCAGGCAGCTCTGTTGTTCCCGACGAGGCAGCTCTGCTGTTCTCGATGAGTCAGCTCCTCTGGCATGCGGGTTGCTCCGAGTTGTAATGGGTCCATTGTGTTATGTCTGTCGCTCATTGGCAGACGCCCCACAGTTCGGCTCCTCATTTCTTCAAGTCGCCCCTTCCCAATGAATTGTGGTGGGGAAGGAACCCCTGGACCCCTAACCTGCCTTGCCTGCCTGCTCACCCGGGTTCTGGGCTCAAGGCTTGCGTCCAACGACAAGTCAGGGACAGCCAAACCACCGCGAACGATGCGTCCGAGATCAATCACCTGTGATTGGAACTCCGACTATCTCTCCCTGGCATCCAGCGATTGGCATCTCGGCGATTGGCATCTAGGCCATCAATGGACGCATTGAAACCGTCAGGGCCAACCACATACCCCGCTCAACATGAGCGACTCCATGATGGTATCACAGCTTACAACATCCCCAACACCGCCGCTCTACCTAATGCAGCGGCCTCCTGCCCAAGCCTGCCGCTCTTCTTGTACGACTTGGACCCAAAATCATGTTCACAACCCTCCTTGCTGGGCAGTCAACCGGATCACGACAATAGAATGCGGACAGGTTGTACTGGATCAGGCATTTCCCGGAGGTGACACCAGTGTCTTGGAACAGCCGAGTCCTCGAGTGCCAAGCGGCGCCTAGCCCAGCAGCTGATGGTTCAGTACCCAAGCCGAGCATGTGTATCCAACGGTGGCTGCAGTGTGGCAACGATACTATCCAATCTGACTTCTCTGCTCCTACTCTTTGTAGCGCCACCGCTTTCGGGCTTGCGGCAGAGAACGGAGCTCGCTGGTCTTATCAATCTACCGAGACTAGTCACTAACATGTCTTGAGTATAGGGCTTGCATTGTTTGGGTTCTTCTTCTTCAACAGATAAAGATTTGTTCAACATCGGCCGCAAACGACAGGATGAGAAGGGCGCAATAGCTGCCACTCCCCGAAGCACCGACCCTTTGCCTGCGATGGACAGGGGCCAACACAGCTGTACCTCGGGATAACTTCAACGTGTTTTCTTTCCGAATGCAGTCATGGCCAGCCTCGAAGGGCTCGAACGGTTCGATTCCTCGCTAACATTCCTCTGCCGACTTGTGGGTGCAGGTCAGTGCTCCCCCGAGGATAGACATCCCCGGGTTCTGGGCCTGGGCCTGTGGCATATGCAAAGGTAGTCATGGAAAACGCCTCATGAGAAACGCCGCATGAGGAAATGGCCGGCTGCGATCACCAACTCGATATTGGGTTGTTCCTGGCTCTATATAGAGGCATGGCGTATCTTTCTTTCCATCCCAGCGTTTCTCTCCGACTCCAACCAACAACAGAGCATCGACGCAGCTCCTCGACAACATGAGCAACCACATCAGCTGGCTTGGTCTGGCGGCCTTGTCATCCATCGCGGGTTTGCCTCTTGCTGATGCCCGCGCCCTGATCAAAGACAATGGAGCGGCCAACAACGACAACAACCTGCTCCTCACCCGTGGCGAACATGATGACACATGTTCTTCGGTCATAATCAACATCGACCCCGACCGCTATGGCTGCGGACCCGGACAGCTTTCCGTACTCGATACATGTCAGGACCTCGTCTTCGGCTCAGACCCGCTTAGTTGTGCTGGCAAAAAGTGCCTGCCTGGTCAGTGGTGTGACGAAGATGTCTGCCGCTCGATCCAGGTCCTCACGAGCCCTCTCCAGTGTGGCCCTGCCAAAGAAGACTGTGGCAGCAACCAGGTCTGCGTCAACGGCGTCGTGCAGCCCATCGACACTGGATTCGACGGCACGAGCTGCGGAGCTGAAGGCTCCAATAAGACTGCTTGCAACCCTGGCTGGGCTTGCTACGAAAATTCATGTACACCCATCACTATCGGATCCAATGGCTGTGGCTCGAAGGACACCGAGTGCGCCTACGAGCACCTCATCATTGGTACTGACTCAACCCACTGCGGCTCCAACGAAACCGCATGCGACTCTGGAAGTCTCTGCGTCTTTTCCGAATGCTTGCCCCTGGACTTAGGAGCCGGGGAGACATCTGATGACGTCGCTCCTGGCAGCATCTGCTACGATGGCGAAATCATTCCTATTCACATCAGCACAGATAACACCACTTGCGGTGAACCAGTTGCACACTGCGAGCCTGGCTCCGTCTGTATTTCTGGCGTCTGTATCAGCGACTTGTACGATCCCAGTTGCGGCCATGGCGATAAGCCTGGGTCTGGTGGCGCTGCTGGCGGCAACTCCAAGCCTCACCATGACGGCAATCGCAAGCCCGTTCACGGTGACCGACCCTCAAACACCATCTGGAGGCCCGCGCCAATCTGCCCACCTGGCAAGGTTCAGGCCGGCCATCTCTGCGTCGATGTCTTCGGAGACGCCAAAGACTGCTCCGGCAAATCATGCTCCTCCAGCTCACTCTGCTGCCGGGGACGCTGCATTGACTTCGACGTTGGATCTGACGCGTCCGATTGCGACGGGAAGTGCGGCGACGGCTACTTCTGCTACGATAAGGAGTGCTATCCTTCCGAGATTGAGCCCGTCCTGCAGTGCGGCTCGCAGCAGTGTGCTCCTCACCAGGCCTGCCTGGGTGGTAAAGTCTGCCTCGACGTCACCGGTGACCCACAGAGTTGCGAGAACAGCGAGCCATGCCCCGCGAACAACGTCTGCATACTCGGAAGCTGTGTCTCCGTCGACACTGGCGAGGATCCCAATGCGTGCGGACCCAAAGCCCTGACATGCCCTCCTGGCACTCTTTGCTTGGACTCCGAGTGCATCTCTGCCGGCATCCCGGGTTTCCCTGGCGGACCCGGCTTCCCTGGCGGACCCGGCTTCCCTGGCGGACCTGGCTTCCCTGGCGGACCCGGCTTCCCTAGCAGACCCGGCTCCCCTAGTGGACCCGGCGGACCTGGTGAAGCTGGCAAGCCAGGCAAGCCAGGCGGTTCGGGCGGCGTTGGCATCCCTGGCGGGAAGCCTGGCCCCGACGAGTCTGAGTGCAGCCCCTCCTGCGGCGACGATTCTCTCTGTATCGCCAAGGAGTGCCGCGTTCTCGGGGATCCCGATAACTGCTTCAGGGACTCTGCCCGACTTAAATCTCGACAGACCTCGTCGTCATCTACCCAATGTACGTCTTCTGAGACGTGTCTCGACGGCGAGTGCGTGCCTGTCGAAGGTCCTGGAGCTTGCGGTTCCGACTGTGTGGCTCCCTTCAGCTGCGTCCTTGACTCCTGTGTACGCACTCCACCTACTGGCACGCCAGATGGCTCTGGAAACCCAGGCGAGCCCCTTGCGTGTGGTGCCAACGGCCCCTGCGACGATGGCGAGGTTTGCGTTGATAACCAGACTTGCATCAACCTTGGCACCGATCCCCAGAACTGCGGCACCGTCGACAGACAGTGCCCAGATGCCTCGCCTCTATGCATTGCGGGCATCTGTCGAGGCGCAGCTCTTCCCCAGTGTGGAGCTGATCCCTGCCTGCCTGATATCGAGATTTGCATCAACAACATCTGCATCAAACCCTCTACCGACTTGAACAACTGCGGCACTCCCGGAAACAAGTGCTCCGCCGGTGAAGTCTGCGCAGCAGGTGTTTGCCAGCGTCCTGACGGCCCCAATCCTCCTGGCCAGTGCGGAACTACCGCTTGCGCCCTCGGCGAAATCTGCGTCGATGGAAACACGTGCGTCAACCTGAGCAATGATCCCGATAACTGCTCAACTCCTGGTAACGCCTGTCCTGACGACCGCCCTCTCTGCCTAACGGGTGTCTGCACCGCATTGCCTCCTGCACAGTGCGGCACCGAGACTTGCGTGGGCAACCAGATCTGTCGCAACAACCTTTGCGTAGACCCTTCTGTCGACGACAACAACTGCGGCTCCGACCTGGTTCAGTGCACCAGCCCTCTTGTCTGCCAGAGCGGCGTCTGCGCGCCTCTGACTGGCCCTGATGACCCCGTTACTGGTCCCGGCGACCCTGTGACTGGTCCTGGCAAAGAGGGTGACGCCTGTGGCCTCAACCTGCCCCTTTGTGGCGAGCCTCTTCTCTGTCGTGGCGGTGAGTGTGCTGTCCTGGGAGTGCCTGGCGGCGAGGGTGACGTCAACGACGCATGTGGACCTGGTCTGCCTCCATGCCGGAGCTCTCTGAGCTGCCAGAACAACATCTGCTTGCCTTCCACTATTCCTCCTGGTGGTGATGATGCCGGCGTGACAGGTGATGCCTGTGGTCCCAACCTACCCCCTTGTGAGAGCACTCTCGTCTGCCAGAACAACATTTGCGCGCCACCCATCAGCGGACCCGGCGATACCGATGGAGGTGAAGCTGGCAACGCTTGCGGCCCCGATCTCCCTCTCTGCAAGTCGCCACTTCGATGCCTAAACAACGTCTGCCTAGGCCCAATCACGACTCCTGGCGGCGACAATGGCGGTAACGTCGGCGATGCTTGCGGTCCTGCTCTGCCGCCTTGTCAATCTACCCTTCTGTGCCAGAACGCTGTTTGCCTGCCCCCCATTGGTGGTCCTGGCGATGGAGGCGAAGGCGAGCTTGGAGATGCTTGCGGCGCTGGCTTGCCCCCTTGCCAGTCTACCCTCGAGTGCCAGAACGCTATCTGCTTGCCTCCTAACCCTGGCTCTGGAGGCGATGGTGAAGGCAGCCTCGGCGATGCCTGTGGCTCCGAGCTGCCCCCTTGCGAAGCGAACCTCGAGTGTCGCAATGATATTTGCCTTGAGCCTGTCAACGGCGGCAACGGCGGTGGCGTGCAGGGCGATGCCTGTGGTGAGGGTCTTCCCGCGTGCCAGACCACGCTTGAGTGTCAGAACAACATCTGTCTTCCTGCTATCGACCCCATCGTCAACAACGGCGGCGAGCAGGGCGACGCTTGCGGCGAGAACCTCCCTGCTTGTAACACGGGCCTCGAATGCCAGAATGAAATTTGTCTGCCTCCTATCAACTCCGGCGGCGACGATGGCGGCGAGAACGGTGATGCCTGTGGCGAGGGACTCCCCGAGTGCCAGGCTCCCCTTACCTGCCAGAATGCCATCTGTCTTCCCGAAATCGCTGGCCCCGGAGATGAAGGTCAACAAGGCGATGCTTGCGGCCTCAACCTTCCCATGTGCGAGGCACCACTCACCTGCCAGGGCAACGTCTGTTCGCCTCCCGAGATCGGTATTCCTAGCGGCCCCACTGACGGCTCCGAGGGCGCCAACTGCGGAAGCAACCTGACTCCCTGCCAGTCTCCCTTGACCTGCCAGGCTGGTATTTGTCTCCCTGTCGGTGGTCCCGGGACCGGCGGTCCCGGGGCCCCCTGTGGCGACGATGTTGGTCCTTGCATCTCTCCCCTCACCTGCGAGGATGGTATCTGCCTGCTGCGAGAGGATCCAGGTGACGGCAATCTTGGTGATGAGTGCAGCGCGGACAAGCCTTGCCTCCGGCCCCTCTCTTGCGAAGCCGGCATTTGTGTCGGACCTGGAAACCCTGGTGAAGGTGGTCCTGGCGAGGCCTGCGGCGCAGAAACTCCTTGCAAGGCTCCTCTTCAGTGCCAGAACGATATCTGCCTCGCACCATCCGATGGTGGCGAAGATGCCCCGGGAGGACTCGGAGACGACTGCAAAGCTCTCTCGCGCAGCGCAGCTGAGCCCTGTCTTGCCCCCCTCACCTGCGAGAATGGCAAGTGTGCTCTACTGGCCGGCCCTGGTGCTGAGTGCAACGACGACACGCCTTGCCGCAGCCCTCTCGAGTGTCAGTCAAACGTCTGTGTTGCGCCCAATGCAGGAGGCGGCGATGCGGGAGGCCCCGGTGATGCTTGTGACGCCGAGTCGCCCTGCCGTCTTCCTCTCCAATGCCAGGGGGGCAGCTGCGTCAACCCTGGCAACAACAATGATGCGTGCGACGACGACACACCATGCAGGACTCCCCTTACTTGCCAGGAGGGTACCTGTCTTCCGCCCACTGAGCCGGCCGGCCCCGGCGATGCCTGCAACGCTGAGACCATCTGCGCTGCCCCCTTCGAATGCCGCAACGATGTTTGCGTCGCACCGACGACGAACCCCGACGAAGGCAACCTGGGCGATGATTGCAGTGCTGAAAACCCGTGCCGCAGTCCCCTCGGCTGCGAATCTGGCAAGTGTGCTCTCCTTGGCGCCGCTGGCGATGAGTGCGCCGACAACAAGCCTTGCCGGACCCCCTTGACCTGCCAGTCTGGAACATGCGCTGTCGACCCCGGCCCCAACAATGGCGGCGGCGGCGGCGGCGGAGCTGGCGATCAGTGTAGCGAAGCCAACCCTTGCGCAACGCCTCTCGAGTGCCGCAACGACGTCTGTGTCCTCCCTGGCGCGCCTGAGCTTGGCGACCTTGGCGATACCTGCACCGGCGCGACACCGTGCCGCAGCCCCTTGGACTGTGTGGGAGGCATCTGTGCCAACCTTGGCGGCGCTGGCGACCAGTGTGATGACAACGCCCTATGCCGAACGCCTCTTCTATGCCAGTCCGGTACTTGTACCGCCCCGGATCTCGGTAACGAGCTCCCCCCTGGCGGCGGCGGAGGCGGCGGCGGTGCTGGCGCTGGTGACCAGTGCAGCGAGACAACCGTCTGCGCCTCGCCTCTTGAATGCCGCAACGAGATTTGTGTTCTTCCCGGTGCTCCCGACCTCGGAGATGCTGGCGACAGCTGTTCGGCTACGAGTCTTTGCCGCGTGCCTCTGAGTTGCGAGGCTGGTACTTGCACCAACCTCGGCGGCGCTGGCGACCAGTGCAACGAAAACTCCCCTTGCCGGACGCCTCTGCTCTGCCAAGCCGGTACTTGCACCGTTCCCGGTCTCGGCAACGAACTGCCCGGCGGTGGCGGTGGCGGTAACACTGGTGGCCTTCCCGGCGACGAATGCAGCACTGAGAAGCCCTGCCTGGCACCCAACGAGTGCGACGCCAACATCTGTGTCGCCCCCGCGGGCCCCGGAGGCGGCGGCAACAGCGGTGACAGCTGCGGACCCGAGACGCCTTGCAACGTTCCTCTCCTCTGCGGTCTGTCCAATGTCTGCGTTCTCCCCGGAGGTCTGGCGGATACCTGCTCGAACGAGGCGCCCTGCCGGCCCCCTCTTACGTGCCAGAACGGTGCCTGTGCTGTCGCCGAAACACCCGCTGGGGGTCTACCAGGCGATGTCTGCAGCACCGAGCAGCCCTGTCAAGCGCCCAACGAGTGTTCTGGCGGTGTTTGCGTCATTCCTGGCGCCGGGCCCGGAGCCGGCGGCAACTCAGGTGATGCCTGCAGCACCGAGAACCCTTGCAACGTGCCGCTCATTTGTAGCCCGAACTCTGTGTGTATCCTCCCCGGAGAGCTGGATGCTACCTGTTCAAGCGATGCTCCATGCCGCACACCTCTGGTCTGCGCGTCTGGCGTGTGTGCCGTCGACCCTGGTCCGAACAACGGAGGCGGTGACAATGGCGGCTCCGGCGGTCCGGGTGACCTCTGCGCTGCAGTTGGCGACTGCCAAACACCTCTCGATTGCCGTGCCGGCGTCTGTGTCATTGTGGAAGGACCAGGTGGTGGTGATGTTGGCGATAGCTGTTCCACCGTCGTTGACATTCTCCGCAGGTCCGCTGCGAACGTCTGCAACCTTCCCCTGATCTGTGGTCCCGCCAACACTTGCATTTCTCCGGTTGATCTCGACGGCGTTTGCAGCGACCAGGCACCCTGCCGTTCGCCGCTCGTCTGTCTTTCCGGTGTCTGCGCAGTCGACTCTCTCCCTCCCGCCGCGGGCGGCAATGCTGGCGACACCTGCAGCCTCACCTCGCCATGTGCCCTGCCGCTCATCTGCGGCCCTGCCGGTACTTGCATTTCTCCGGTGGATCAGGACGGCGCTTGCGATGACGATAAGCCGTGCCGTACGCCCCTGACCTGCCAGTCCAACGTCTGTCTCCCTCCTACATCCACTGGTGGAGGTGGTGGTATCGGACTCGGCGGCACCTGTGGCGAGGGCGCCATCTGCTTCTCTGCTTTCGAGTGCCTTTTCAACATATGCATCGACCCCAACAGCAATGGCGGAAACAACGGTGGCAACAACGGCGGTGAGACGGGCGGCCCCGGAAGCCAGTGCAGCAGCGAATCTCCTTGTCTTCTTCCCCTTGTGTGCGGCCCTGCCGGCACATGTCTGCTGCCCGCCGCCGAGAATGGGCAGTGCAACGACGACACCCCCTGCCGCTCGCCCCTCACTTGCCAGTCTGGCGTCTGTCTTCCCGCCGTCACAACTCCCGGTGGTGGAGGAGGTGGTGACACCGGCGGTGCTGGCGCTGGCGCTGCTTGCAACGACCAGACGCCCTGCGCAACACCTCTCCAGTGCACCAACGACATCTGCGTTGTCCCTACTCCTGGTGGTCGCAACCTCGGCGAGAGCTGTGATGCTACCAGCATCTGCTCGCTGCCCCTGGCCTGCGAGTCGGGCACTTGCACGAACCTGCGTAACCTTGACGAAACATGCGATGGAACGCTTATCTGCCGTTCGCCCTTGACCTGTGGCGAGACCGGTCGTTGTACGGCCCCGACAACGACGACACCGAATGTTCCTGATCTTGGACAGCTTGGCGATGATTGCAGCACTACCCTTCCCTGCATCCCAGCTCTTGTCTGCGGTGCCACCAATGTCTGCGCCACGCCAGGTGTTGAGCTCGGCGCCTCTGGCGAAGCTTGCAGCGAGACGAAGCCCTGTCTCCCCGGCCTCACCTGCGGCTCTGACAACACTTGCGGCCCCATCACGACTATTCCCAACCCACCTGAACCTGGTCCTCTCGGAGCGCCCTGCAGCGCTACCCTGCCTTGTGTGACAGGGCTCATCTGTGGCACCGGCGACATCTGCGCCGTGCCAGAGACGGATCCTATCATTGACACACCCCCGCCCGGCGACGTCGGCGACGCCTGCAGCTCGACCTTGCCCTGTCTGTCAACGCTCATCTGCGGTACTGATGACAAGTGTGCCGCGCCCTCACCGCAAACCCCTGGTGGCGCTGGAGATGTCTGTGGTCCTCTGAAGCCGTGCGAGAGTCCTCTGTTCTGCAGCGAGGGTCTGGTCTGTGTTGATGCAACAATTACCCCTCCCGCCGGCGGCAACGTTGGAGAAGCTTGCAGCCTCACACTTCCCTGCCTGAGCCCCTTCCTCTGTGAGGGCGAAGTCTGCATTCCCGCCACTGGCGGACAGGGACAAGGTGGTCTGAACGACGAGTGCAGCACCGCCAAGCCCTGTATCTCGCCCCTCATCTGTGGTAGCGAGAACAAGTGCACGACTGCCCCTGCTGCCAATGTGCCTGGAGCTGTCGGCGACGCATGCACTGTTGTCAGCGACTGCGCGACTGGCCTCGTCTGCACCGACAGCAAATGTGCCCTGCCTCCCGTCGTCCCTGGCAAGCTCGGCGCCACCTGCGGCGACAACCAGCCTTGCGAGACCCCTCTCGTCTGCGGCACTGGCAACGTCTGCGCAGCCCCGCCTCCTGGTGATCTCGGCGCCACCTGCGGCACCCTTCAACCCTGTGCCGCGCCCCTTGTCTGCGGCGAGGGGGATATCTGTGCCACGCCTCCCCCGGCTGGCAGTGGTCAACCCTGCGGTCCCAGCCAGCTTTGCGCCTCGCCTCTCGTCTGCGGCTCGTCCAACGTCTGCGAGGACGCTCCCACCGACGTGCCCGGAGGCGCTGGCGCTGCCTGCAGCGCACGGAAACCCTGCTTGGCTCCTCTCGTCTGTGGTGAGTCCAGCACGTGCGAGACGCCGACGGTGACCCCAGGTGCTGTCGGTGAGTCTTGCAGCCCTACCGCGCCCTGCCTGAGCCCGCTTCTCTGCAACAGCAACGTCTGCGAGGCGCCTGTCGTCAACACGCCGGGCGGTCCCGGCGAGACCTGCAGCGAGACCCGTCTGTGCCGCGCGCCCCTCGTCTGCGGCAGTGGAAAGACGTGCGAGACACCGGCCGAGACGCCCGGCAACCTCAACGACCCTTGCAGCACTACCCGACCCTGCTTGAGCCCCCTGCAGTGCTCTGAAGGCGGCACCTGTGTGGCCGGCGTCACCCCGCCCGTCACCGGCGAAACCTGCGGAAGCGGTCGTTGCACGAACGCCCAGATCTGCATCCAGAGCCCCATCGGCAACGCTTTTGTCTGTGTAGCCCTCGCTCCCGGGTCCCAGGGTGGTAACGCGGGCACCAACTGCGGCAACACGGGTCGCGCGTGCTCGTCAGCCGAGATCTGCATTGAGTCAGTCGCTCTTCCCGGCTCCTATATCTGTTTCAACCGACCTACTATCGGCGGCAACACGGGCGGCAATGGTGGTACAACTACACCGCCAACCGGCGGCGGCGGCGGCGGCGGCGAGACCCCTTCAGGAACCAAGTGCGGCAGTGCTACCTGCCCCACCGGTCAAACATGTCTGAATGCCGCCACCAGCTCGTGCGGTCTCGCTGGCGACGCTGGCACGACAACGCCCGCGCAGAACACTCAGTGTGGCGATAAGGTCTGCCCGGGCGTCCAGATCTGCATCAACTTCGGTCCATTCAACTTTGGCGGCAAAGTCTGCGGCCTCCCAGGCGAGACGGGCGTTACCCTCGGCACCGGCATTCTCTGCGGCAACATTCGTTGCGGACCTTTCCAGCGCTGCGAGGATGCCACGCGCAGCAGGTGTACCTTCAACCCCTTTAGCGGCACCAACACAGGACCCTCGACCGGCGTCAGCGCTGGTGGTGAGGGTTCTGTGACCGTGCCCGGCGGCACAGTCGGAGCCGGAGGCAGTGTCAACGCTGGCGCCAACGGTGGCACCGGTGGTGTCAACGCCGGAGCTAATGCCGGTGCCAACGTTGGTGCAGGCGGTGTCAATGCCGGCGCCAACGTCGGCGGCGGTGTAAATGCTGGAGCTAATGGCGGCACTGGTGGTGTCAACGCCGGCGCCAACGGAGGCGCCACTGGCGGTGTCAATGCCGGAGCTAACGGAGGTGCCACTGGCGGTGTCAATGCCGGTGGCAACGTCGGCGGCGGTGTCAACGCTGGAGCCAATGGTGGTGCTACTGGCGGTGCCAACGCTGGAGGTGGTGTCAATGCCGGAGCCAATGGCGGCGCTACCGGCGGTGCCAACGCCGGCGCCAACGGAGGTGCTACTGGCGGTGCCAACGCCGGTGCCAACGGAGGTGCTACCGGCGGCGTCAACGCCGGAGCCAACGCTGGAGGCGGTGTCACCGCTGGCGGTAACGCTGGTACTGGTGGTGCCAGTGCCGGAGCCAATGGAGGTGCCAGTGGTGGTGTCAATGCTGGGGCCAACGCCGGCGGATCAGGTGCCAACGCTGGTGCCAATGGAGGTGCCAGCGGTGGTGTCAACGCTGGAGCGAATGGTGGTGGTGGTGCCAGTGCCGGAGCCAACGGAGGTGCCAGCGGTGGTGTCAACGCCGGTGCCAATGCCGGCGGATCTGGCGTCAACGCTGGTGCCAATGCCGGTGGAGGCGCCACCGCTGGTGGCAGTAGCAGCGGCGGCAACACACAACAGCCTGCCGGCGCTGGACAGCGTTGCGGCGGCATCCTCGGATTCGGCTGTCCTCCCTTCACCAGGTGCGAGGGCAAGACTTGTGTCGCCTTCGGCATCGGCTTCGGCATCGGTGCTTAGGACATGTTCATCGTGGCAACGATGTGATGGCTTTCTGTTTCCCTTTGTTTCTTTCCTTTGTCTATCCTCTTCTCATGTATAAAGCTGAACGAGAGTTTGGCCGGGACCATCTCTCGGTGTTGTAATGGAGTTGACAAACGGGTCAACAGGACAGTTCTTGGCTTTCTCTGGTGGTCTGACACACTTCTTTTCTAAGGCCCTACAGGCCTCTATTTAATTTGCATGTCGCCGGGCCTTAGAAAGCTCTGCACAGGCTTTGAAATTGATTCAAGTTGCCAGTTCCTCTCTCAATCTGACTCGTGCCTGGATGAGCTAACGATACAATGGCCAGTGTAGTGCAGGTGAGTGAGGGTGAGAGACCCAGCATGTGGCCAGCTTGGCAGCCTAAATAGTGCGCAACGGCAGAGCCCAGCTACAGAAGACGGCTCACCCTTCCTTCACCTTATCGGCCATTCACAACAAGATCTTGTTGAGTGAATCTGACAGCGGTACAAGAGCAGGAAGCAACCACCATTACCATGCAAGGATAGCTGCGGGGCGCCTGTTGCTTGACAGAGGAGTAACAGCGCAGAGGGGGCCAACCGTTACGAGGGACTACGTAGAGGGAGGATGGCCGTCCCAAGCAAGAAGAGGGTGTCGATTGCTCGCCTCATGAGAGACCCCGAAGAGATGAGCAATTGCCGTCCTTGGCCCGCCGCGAAACTCCTTTCGAATCAATCGAATACAATGCGCATCTTACTACTCCAGGCATGACAGCGTGCTACATCACGACGACAGGACACTAGCGCGTGGTTGAACAGAAACGGCGCACGATGCCTTGATTTTGGTGGACACAGGAGAGAGTGTCGAGCGCTGATGTTTTCTATAGATATAAGAAGGATCCTGTTACCTTGCGGAGTCAGCAGAACCGTACCCAACTGTTGGATGCCCTCAGAGCGGGGTAGCCTACCTTGCTTTACCTTACAATCCCTCGCCTTGCGCCCAGCTCTTCTCCCTTGGATATTTCTGCAGTGCCTGTCCGGCTACGAAATGCCGGCTTCCCACCTCTCCTGGCGGTCTCGAGCACGAATTGGGGGTTAGCCGAAAGCTAAACTGACGCTATGTAATCTCGCGAGACCACTGAGGGATGATCTAATCAGATGATCTTATCAGATCGTCCCTCTAGCCTGCATGAGTCTTCAGCGTGTTGCCGCACCACTCACCAAAAAAAGCATGTGCTTGCTGGTGGGTAGGTAGCCAGGGTGAGGAGGGGCCTTCCTGCATGGTGGCTTGCGGCGTTGACGAGGGATTTCGTCGAGTTTCGACCGCGGGCTTGTCGTCCGCCAGGAGGGTTTCTCTTTTTCGCTTTCGTGCTTGTCGCGACGGGCAATCGAGTCGACAGAGTCTCCCGACAGTGTGCCGCGACATAAGCGCTCACAATGTTTGGTGTTTCCAACTCGCTTCTGGCCTTCAGCGCCGCCGTGGCGGCCCTGGTGTTTGGCGTCTTCAAGCTCGTGCGCGCACGCCTGTTCTTCAGAAATCTCGTAAGTCGCCCACGTCCAGCCTCAATTTCACCACACCGGGCCCGTTCCGCGCCCGACCCAGCTCGACGATGAACTGACTGCGAGGGGGTGTCAAAAACAAACAGCCTCAACCGCCAGGCCACTCACTCCTGTTCGGCCACATCGGCGTCTTCCAGGACGTCATGGCGCGGTTCCCGGCCAACACGCACCCGCAGCACTTTTACACATACATGTCGCACAAGTTTGCGCTGCCGGGCATCTTTTACATAGACACGTGGCCCTTCATGGAGCCGCAGATGGTCATCACGGACCCGGACGCCGCCATGCAGGTGCTCTCGGTGAGCTCATACCCCAAGCACCCGACCATTGAGAACTTTCTGCGCCCCTTCACCGGCAAGGACAGCATCGCGGCGTCCAACGGCGAGCGCTGGAAGGCGAACCATCGCATGGTCGGCTCGGGCTTCACACCGACGTACGTCAAGCCCATGCTCGGCATGATTGCCGAGCAGGTGCTCGTCTTCCACGCGCGGCTGCGCGCCCTGGCCCGTGACGATGACGCCGCCTTTTCGATGGAGGAGGAGAGCGCCAAGATGGTCTTTGACGTTGTCGGCAAGATTGTCTTTGGGTACTCGCTCGAGGCGCAGAGGGAAGGGTCGCCGTTGCTGCACGATCTGCGCGCGTCCATCAGCCCGGCGACGACGGTGCTCGGCAGCTGGAACCCGCTTACGAGGCGGCGCGCGCAGGCCGAGCTCGAGGCGCTGAGGAGGCGGGTGCACGATACGCTCGCCGCGTCGATGACGGAGAGGCATAAGACGTTCTTGGATGAAAAGGCGCTGCCTTCAAGGCGGCAGGCGCGAAGCATCATGGACCGCATTGTTTTGGACCGTATCCAGGCGCTGCCGGGTGTGCCTCTTGACGAGAGGTTCTTCGAGGACGCCGTGACTAAGTGAGCATTCGTTGCCCCTTATTTTGTTGCCTCTTGTAAAACGGGGGAAAGGACAGCAGCAATGAATATCGAGCGAGCTAACGAATCCAGCCTGAAAGCACTGCTGCTCGGCGGCCACGGCACAACGACGGACACGTTCACCTTTGCAGCGATGCTCCTGAGCGTGCACCCCGAAGCCATGGCGCGTCTGCGCAGGGAGCACGACGAGGTCTTCGCGCCGGGCCTCGACGCGACGGTCGCCCTGATCGAAGAGGACCCCAAGCGGACCAACAGGCTCGAGTACACCAACGCCGTCATCAAGGAGACGCTGCGCTTCTTCCCCATCGGCTTTACCATCCGCGCGGCGCCGCCGGGCACGACGTCGCTCTCGTGGCAGGGGCGCGCGTACCCCGTCGAGGGCGTCATGGTCGTGCCGTGCGCGCACACGTCGCACATGGACGCCTCGCTCTGGGGCGATCCCAAGGTCTTCCGCCCGGAGCGCTTCCTCGGCGAGGAGGGGGCGGCGACGCACCGGTATGCGTGGCGGGCGTTTGAGAGGGGGCCCCGTGCGTGCATTGCGCAGGATCTGGCCATGGATGAGCTGCGGGTCATGCTGCTGCTGACGGCGCGGTGGTTTGACTTCGAGACGGTGGTCGAGGGCACGAGTGAGAGGGTGATGTACATGGATCTCGACAAGCTGGTGGGCGATCTGGCGTTCCAGGAGATTGGCATGGAGGCGCGGCCTAGGTCTAGCATGAGGATGAGAGTGAAGCTCAGGGAACCGGCTTCATCTCAGGAGTAGGTGAGGCATGCATGGGTGCTGTTCGAAATCCAGAGCGCCTCTAGCTTGAGCTTATGTCTGATCCATCTCTAACCGTTCATTCCACAGACGCTTTTCCCAGCCACGATCTAGCAACTTCTGAGGCGTCGACTGAACTGCCCCCCTTTCGAGGCCTGGACGAGATGCATCTTTGGAGACTCCATGGGTACACGGGTGAGGTGAGAGATGGAGGGACGCGAGGCCTACAGTAGTATGACGCCACGCTGTGGTTAGTTCCTCTCTGGTACAGCAAAACAGACTCTCGCGCGCATTACTGTTGGTCAAAATGGTTCATGTCATATCCATACGTCTTGACATGTCAATTTTTTCATGCAAGAAGCACTACACAAGAGCAAGCAAAGAGCCACGTGAGAGGCCAATCTCAAAGGTGGCCATGAGTCGGCCGTGTATTGCGTCGTATTCGCAGAAGGAAAGGAGCTCTACACCAACGGCGACGATATGCAGAGGCAGATAAATGGGTGGGATATACAAGACATGTCACACTGGGGCTCATCGGAAGCCCCTCGCAGGGTGCTCGCGCGAAAAAAGAGCGCGCGCGCCTCAGCAAATCTCCCAGAGGGGCCGCGGAAGGTCGTGACTGGCGTTGGGCCCCCTGTGGTTGGTCTCGAGTTGTTTCGAGCCAATGTAGACGACGCGTCGGGCGGGTGTCCCTGTTGTGACGGAGCGCGACTCGAGGCCGTAGTAGTCGGAGATGGAGTGTGTGAGCCAGCGCCTGCGAAAAGACCAAGTCAGTAAACGATTCCTCGTGGGGCCGCTTCTCGGGGGGGAACCAACTTGAAGGACGCGCTCTCGTCGTCGCCCAGCTCGTCAAAGACAACGCCTGTCTCGAGGTTGCCGCTGCCGTCGTCGCGCGTCGCCTTCTTCCAGCCCTGCGCCTTGGCAGCGGCAGCAGCGGCAGCAGCAGGCGTGGGCTGGTTCTTGCGGCCAACGAAGACAATCTCCTCGTCCTCGCTGTCCAGGCCCTCGGCATCCGTGTCCTCGTCTACGGGGGCGTCGCCGCGCTGCTGGCGCACAAAGTTGCGGACGGGCTCCTCGAGGAAACGGACCCAGTTCTTGATGGCGGGGGACCGCTTGGTGTAATCGCGCAGGTCGCGCGGCACCATGCCGGCGCCGCGGCCGGTGGCGGATCCGTTGGCGAGCTGCTGCGTCTTGCGGCGGGCCTGCTGGGCGAGAGACTTTGTGTCGAGGCGCTGGCGGACAGAGGCCGACGTGGGCGAGTCGCGATCCCAGAAGGCGGCGAGGTGGTAGGGAACGTGGTGGATGGGGTGTGTCGGGCGAGGCTCAAAGTCGGAGGGGATGGGCGGCTGGGCGTTGGGCACGCCGATGAGGCGGTCTGGAGGGAGGCGCTGTCAGCACGTGGTAGCGTAGGAAGGGGTCGAGGCGTGTCTCGCATCAGACAAGTCAGGCCTGTGACCAGATGGGGACTCACCATTCTCCCAGCGGCGGCGCTGTCGGCTGCCTTCGCTGCCCTTCAGCGCGGCATCTCTCGACTTCAAGCTGTCACGACGGCTCAGGGGCCTTCGAATGGGGTCGGCACGCGGATCGACTGCGATGGTGACTGTTCGTCTCGTCCCTTCAGCCTGGGGCTTGTCCTCCGTCTGCTTGGGAGCTTCGTCCAGCGGGATGGTGAGTGGCGAACCGGTACCTCGCGCGATGGGACTGACGCTCAGGGATTGGAGGGCGGAGATGGTCCAGGCCTCAATATCGATGACGCCGGGCGGTGTCGCATGGTTGTTCTGGCGTGAAGGGGTCCTTGGCGACGGCGAGGCTGCCTTACCAGCTGGTGATGCAGCCGGACGCGGGGCCTCAGATGGAGGGGGCACAGCGCTGTAAAGGCCAGGCATAGTGGCGATGCGGGGTAGCGATTGCCAACGGGGGATGGGTGTGAAGGGGATTCCTGCGAGACCAATGGCTCGGTCGAGGGTCGAGGAGATGAAGGATGCAAAAGGTGAAGATGCCTCTGGCGAACGGACAGAGGTCGAAGCTTATCAGCAAGGAGAGCAGGTCGATGGCGATGACCGGCGGCGGCCTCGAGTCATCATGGCCACGGCGTCCAGCACGTGGAAGGCGCGCGCAGAGGGAAGGCTGCAGCTGGTGGCAGGTGTGAGGCATCGAGCGGCGTGATGAGTCATTGATCGTGGCCGGTGCCTTCCATTGCTTGGCCACGATGCCCTGAGGTTGGCCAGCCGTGGTTCTGTGCTTCAGTGCTTCACGAGATGAACAAACTCGCCATGTGAAGGCAACTCGCCATGTGAAGGCAACTCGCCATGTGAATGCAGTCATGTCAGACTTGCCACAAGATATACCAATGGTGCCAACGATTCGACTTGGTCAACGGAGGTCTTCAATGACTGGTGCAAACATGTGATTCTGGCATCAATCCCATCGTCCCTCAATCCGGCCCCAATCCAGTGGCGGCTTCCTCCTCAAGTCAGCCAGCCTCTTGGTAACATGGGATCTCTGCACGGCAGGCAAGCACCGAGCATGCAGACACGGTCCCTCGTCATGCGGCTCCGCCCTCCCATGCAGCCTGGCCTTGTCCTTTTGGGAAGGTTGACAGACACGGCCCATTGCGCCATTCTCGACAGAGCATGGGCCGGATGACGACACGAAGAGGTTGGCAGCCGCGGTCATTTATCGTCGGGCATTTATTTCTTCTGTCGATTCACGGCAACAATTCCGAGCCATGAACATGAAGGGAATTGGCATCAGCCTCGCACCCATTGAACCCAACCTACATTGAAGCCTACCCATCGACCACAAACCAGGCAGGCAGCGCCGGACCAGATAGTCAGGAGGCACCGGCGGAAAAGCGGGTCGCTTCGGCATGGCGGGGCCGGCTCTTGCGTGCTCGCCCCGTGGACTGACGATCCGCCGTTCCTCCTTACGACCTGCCCTGTTGGGGATGCCCATCCACCATGTTCTTTTCTGTCAAGCCATGGTCCGGTCAACCATGAATTGTGCGGACGATCGACCGACGGCCTGGGCGGATCGCGACATGCGCCACGCCTCCAGTCCGTCTGGGGGCGCTGACTTGACCATACCCGGTTCGTCAGCTCGTCAGCACGCGCCCTCTCTTCCTCTGCGCCGTCTCTGACTGTTGCATACGCACTCGACCGCTTCAGAGCGTTGCACCCGCCGTCCCTCCGCCAAGGCACCGCGCCAGCACACCACTATGCCGCACGTGGAGATGGCACAGGTAGCTTCCTAACTCGGAAACCGATGGCCATGGACGCTGCTCTGATGTGCTGCATAAATACTCTTTCAACAGGACCCTCTACGCTGGCTGTCGGTCTACGCGTCCTTTGGCAGGCTCATCCTTCTCTTTGACCGGTATCCCTGGAGCTCTCTCTCTCTCTCTCTCTCCTGCTTCGCCATGAAGTTCCGAACCGCCACCCTCGCGGTCCTCGTCGCCGCCGTCGCCGCCACCGAGTTTGTCACCTACGACGGCTACCAGGTCTTCCGCGTCGCCACGGGCAGCGACACGGCCACCGTCCAGGCCCAGCTCGAGGCCCTCGATGCCATTGTCGAGGATGACCACCACGCGCCCGGCCACCTCGACGTCGCCATCGCCCCCGAGAACCTCGACGCCTTCAAGGCCCTCGGTCTCGCGAGCGAGCTGCTCCAGGAGGATCTCGGCGCCGACATTGCGGCTGAGAGCCAGGGCAACGTCTACCAGCGGAGTACGTCTTCTCTTTCAGCTGTTGCGTGGCCGAGACAAAGACTTCCCCCCACGTCATTCGTCCGCACCGTTGAAACTTTGAATGGCTGGCGCTGTCGCTGTTACTGACTCTCTCTCCCTCCCTCTTCACACAGGGCAAAATGATGATTCTACGCTGCCCGACCTGTCCTGGTGGGACGCCTATCACCCTTACGCCGAGCACGGCGACTTCTTCGACGACCTGCACGCTTCGTTCCCCAACAACTCGGAGCTTTTCGTCGCCGGCAAGTCGTACGAGGGCCGTGACATTTACGGCATTCACTTCTGGGGCAAGGACGGCAAGGATGCGAACCCTGCCGTGTCGTGGCACTCGACCGTCCACGCCCGCGAGTGGGTGTCTGCTCTGGTACGTGGCGGAACTCTGGTTCGGGTGAAAACGAAGAGTCGACGACAGCGTCCGTTCGAAACCCAAGGCTAACGGCCGCAGACGACCGAGTACCTCGCTTACAAGCTCATCTCGGGTTATCTCGAGGGCGACAAGGGCACCCAAGCTCTCGTCGACAAGTTTGACTACTACGTCATTCCCTTTGTGAACCCCGACGGTGCGTGTCTCAGCATGCTCGCTCTACAACGTTCCAACCCCGCTAACCCAACCCCCAGGTTTCGTCTTCACCCAGACGTCAACCCGCCTCTGGCGCAAGAACCGTCAGCCCCGCGCCAACACGACGTGCGTCGGCACCGACGGCAACCGCAACTGGCCCTTTGGCTGGCACTACCCGGGCGGCGCCTCGGACAACCCCTGCGGCGAAACCTACCGTGGCCTCGCCGCCGCCGACACGCCCGAGATTGCCTCGCTCGTCGCCTGGACCGAGACGGTCAAGGCCAAGCACGGCGTCAAGCTCTTCATCGACTTCCACTCCTACGGCCAGTACGCCCTGCAGCCCTACGGCTACGACTGCTCCGTCGTGCCCCCCAACTTTGAGCGCCAGGTCCACGTCGCCAAGTGCTACGCCGACGCCGTCTTCGCCGTCCACGGCTCCAAGTACGTCTACGGCTCCAGCTGCCGCGAGCTCTACGCCACCACCGGCAGCGCCCCCGACTTCCACTCGGGCGCCGTCGAGGCCGAGTTTGCCTGGACCATTGAGCTGAGGCCCGCGTCCGCTGGCGCCGGCGGCTTTGTCCTGCCGCCCGAGCAGATCCGTCCCAACGTCGAGGAGCAGTGGGCTGGTCTGCAGTACGTCCTGTCCGTCGCGTAAGCCGCTACAGGCCGAGCGTACGCATAGCGTGGTTGCCATTCGATTCATCCATCGAGGCTCGCTCTGTTGTATTGTATGCACGTATGCTTCATGATTATCAATCCTCGTGTCGTGTGCCTACGTGATTGTGATTTTTCACTTACAAACTGGGCAACACCAGTTGTGCGAGATGCCTCCGAAAGCTGTCTTGGTGCTCTTGTCAGACACGAGTAGGCGGGGACACAAATGAGGTGTGTTCGAGTTCTCTAATCATACATCCAGCCGAATTCCCAACTATGCGCCTCTTGATTGGGGTTTGACCGTAGTGAGTAAATGGACATGTTCAATATCGTGCTCTTGTAATCATTGCGCATCCCTTGCTGCAATTCACAGCAAGAATTTTCGTTTTCCGATCGTAATTCGTTCTGTATTCATCGAAATGAGCCATCTGCTTCAGAACAGACTTGGCACACTGTCTTCATACACAACATCATGTATCAGACCGCTCTCGATATTGCGTCTGAGATTGCCGCAGCATGACCAGACAGCCAATACATGGGTCGAGCGCAAAGACGTATCTGAATGGCAAAGGTCTCGGCGTCGGCACCTCGAGAATCATGAGCATTGGACCTGAGTCACTAGGCCATGCCTTACATCGGTAGTCAAGTATGTCGTGGCATTGGATGGTCCTCGAAAAGCCCGGTCCCCGGCTGCCTGGGCTCCGCTATCCTCATTTTCAAACCCGCGGCTCTGGGAATGGCATTTGGCTGGTATCTCCTGAGATGTCTCCGCCAGTCCCGTGGTCCATGCTGAAGGCAACAACTCCGAAAGACAACTGCATTTGAGGATCTCAGAATACTATTGCAAAGTAAGGCATCGACTGCTACTGCGAAGGCTCATGTTCGTGTCTGTCATACTACACAAAGAGTTTCAAAGGCCGAGTTCGGCTGGCCAACTGAGAGAGAAGTTCTCTCAGATGCCAGACCCGGGAAGATATTCACTGCAAGCCTCGCAATACCTGGCTGGTCTAGGTATAGTACGGGCTGTCTGAAATGGGAGTCTCCTTCCTCGGCTATAAATATTCTCATTCCAAGCCTGGCCATATTGCCGGACCTGTGAAGTTCCGATTCCCCGGAGAGCATCACGTACCCGAAGAGTCTGACGCCAGGTTCGTCAATCTGGTCCTGATTTCGGCGTAGCGATCGATCTGGTACGCCTTTGGATCTGCCACGTTGGATTGACATTGGAACTCGCGACTGATGGCGAAATTCGCAGGGAAAGTATCGAAATGATGTGCGGGAAGCGCAGTCTCGTCTGCATCCACATTGAACAAATCATGGTCTCGATCAGTTGTAGACGCACCATACTCCAGAAAATGAACTTCCTTTCCCACAATCTCCAGCCCACAACATACTTTGTCAAGGCCACATTGTCCCACAAGAAGGCGCATGAGAGCCAAGTTGCGCCGTTGATTTCGATTCGAATGGACGTTCACTAGTTGCCTTGCCAACGTCTCGTGCTACTCATCATATCAGACCATGTATGACAGGTCGTTCCAACGCCATTAGAAGCCATTTTTTGACTCCGGAACTCCGACACATCTCGATATCCTACACAGCAACCTCGAGTGGAGCTTTGAGTCCATCAACCCTTCATCGCCACGAATTTAAGCTTGGCTCTCCCCTAGTTGCCGCTTCACAAGGGCAGGGTCCAGGCCCATCCACCACAGGCTGTCTTGGCGAGAAGGATTCCGCCCAACCCAACCCCTGAAGCTGCAGGCGCACGGAGATCAATCGCGACCAGGCATCAGCATTTGCGCCGTGGGGATTGGCCGTGCGGCTCGCCCCCAGGACACAGAGGCATAGGCAGCGAGATAGGATCCAATGAGCACCAGACGCGCTCGACATGTTCCTCGCCAGCGTCTCGGGCCTTGCAGTCGAAACAGGGTTTGCCGATTGTCAACATACGTTCCTGAGAGCAGTCTTGTCGCCATCACCAACAGGCTTGATCGGGGACCAAATCCTTCCGGACTCTCGGAGGTTCTCCGCCATATAAGTCCAACATGATGGCTGCCACCACCACCAATCCGCTTCTCATCGCAGTCCTCCATCCTCTTTGATAGATACCTAGCAATCCTCCACAGCGAGTCAGGCCGTCCCATCAGGTTTTATGCCCTCCCTCCCTGTCTCTCTCTCTCCAGCAACGTCCAAGATGCAATCCCTCATCGACACGACCAAGGCCTCGTCCAGCAAGCAAGCGGCGGCGCCGTGGCCCTCCACCTTGCCAGTCGACCCCGACCACGACCACGACCACGACCACGACCACGACGCCGCCACCGAAACGGCCCCGCCGCCGTTCCGCCGCCGCCGCCTCACGCCCTGGAGCCCCGCCTGGCACTGGGCCAAGCTCGGGCTCCGCTGCGCCGCGACCATGGTCGCCGTCGCCGGCATGCCCGTCGCCGCCGCGACGCACGGCGAAGGCACGCGCGCGCCCCTGCGCTTCGGGCTGCCGGCGCACGTCGTGGCGCTGGCGTACGACCTGGCCGAGTGGGCCGTGGTGCAGCGCCACTTCAAGGCGCGGCGCGGCATGCGGCCCGCCGTCACGGCCGCCGCCGAGGCCTTCCTCGTCGTGCTGCACGCCGTCCTGCTGGCGCTCTACCTGTACATCATGCTCGGCGGCTACTGGGCGCCCAACTGGTTCGGCCGCGGGGGCAAGGGGTGGCCGGTTCTGTGCATGGGGATCGCCATGTGAGTGTGCTTCCCTCGTCCCCCCCCCCTTTGCGCGGCAGCAGCCGTTTCAACAACACATGACGTGGCTTTTTTCCTTTTTCTTGTTGTTTCAATGTACAAAAAAAGCTGACCTCGGCAGCGTGGTGCGCATCGCACTCATGGGACGAGCCGCGAACGAGGTGTACCGCCTCAGAATGACAACGCCCAGCGGGGACGCGATCCAGTACTTCCACGATGCCGACACGAACGAACCGCCGGTGCGCGTTGTCGTTCCATCTTGGCATGGCGTCGATGCGGAGGCCGGCGGGATGGAGCCGCCATCGGGCTATCGGGATGCTGACGAGCAGGGAAGCACGGACAAGGTGTTTCTGCCGAGTCCATCGCGCGAGTAGCTGCCGAGGACGGCATCTGTTTGAGTTGGGACCATGATGAGAAATGACGGCGGCAATTGTAAGCGGGCGATATCATGGGCAGATGGATCATGGGCAGACAGATCATGGGCAGACAGATCACGGAGGGAGAATGAGGCTGAACCCGGGTCTCAGCGGATCGAATCGCAGAGGATTGATTCTCTTGGCAAGACTACAAGCAGATCGAACAGAGATGCATGCTCCACCAGCACTTCACTACCACATCTGACGTATGCCTGCTATCAGACGAATCACACGCGATCATCGTGATGCATGGCTCATGGCCACCAGGTCGCACAGCGTCAGCGCCGGGCGCTGCAGATAAGAGAAAGCATATCGAGAGACACAACAACGTCACACTGCTCTCGCCTGGCCCTCTGGGCGTCCAACACTTGGTAGCACCACCCTCAAGCCCTCGACGGATGGCATGGCATCCTGGCATGGCCTCCCACAGATCGGCTCGAGGGGCCCTCAACGCCTGTACGGCCAACGTGTCCAACAACCCCGCATCCCTCACACGAACGGATGGCGCCGGCCGAGTGAACCCCCGCCTACCGTCGGCTCAGCCGGCGCCGATACGACCCCGCGCCCGCACGAGCATGAGGGGAAACGCCGCCGGCGCACCCGTGACAGGCGGCCCATGCTAGCTGCTCCCCTGTGCCCTTACCACTCTCTGTAGCATGCCGGCTGTTTCTTTCTCTCCTCTTCGCACTTGGTGACCGCTCTGGACCCCCTTCCATCCGGGTCATCGAACTAATTACCTAACAAGCGGCGGACCGCCTGTCTTCTTGGTTTCGGCTCTTGGCCTGTCGCGCGCCAGAGCCACGACATGGCCCCTCGATCCAATGACGTAAAAGTACATGGTACGGCGCGGCTCCAGAGCGGCCTGCTGACCTGCTCTGGTGAGACGTCCCCAAAAAAAACACAAAAAGTCAAGGAGAGGGAGGGGGCGTGGTCGCAGAGGAAGCGAGACGGCTCTGTCGAAACCTGGAACGCGCGGGGGCCAAGGGACCACCCGCCAGAGAAACAAGCATTGACACAACGCATGATTCGCACCGAGTGAAGCAGGATAAGGCAGGTCAGGTCAATGTTGAGGGGGGTGGTGGGGTCGTCTCTCGCCATCCTCGCCAGTCTCGAGCTGGAGGGCGTGCGTAGGGCGTGGAAAATGGGGAAAAGCAGAAGACGACGAGAGGAAGAAAGAAAATGGAACTCGGGGGGGTTCGTTCATTGACTCGTCTGGCGCTTATAAGCCCCATTTACCCCAGACTTCGCTTGGCTCGCTCGCTCGCCCGCCCACCTTCGTCTCATTCGCCTAAAAGGGTTCCATCACCAGAAAGCCGAGAGCCTCACGCACTCAGCCTCATCACTCCTCACTCCTCACTCATCACCGAAAAGTATCACTTCAACCCTCAACCGTCCATAGTCTTTCAGGGGAAAAAAAAGCACAGTAGTAGAAACAACATGGGTTCTCACGCAGAGGCCCCCGAGCTCGCCCTCGCCATTCCCACGCCGGACGAGCGCACGGCGACGTGGACGGCCACGCACCCCACCTGGGGCGCCGCCCTCGACCTAGACGTCTACCACCGCCGTGAGCACTTCCTGACGACGGTGCCGCAGTCGCGCAACGGCGGCATCACGCACTGGATCCTCACCGACCCCTCGGCCGCCCCCGGCGCCCGCCCGGTGCTCTCCTCCTGCGAGTCCATCCGCAAGCGCTGCCTCGTCGCGAGCCCCGACGGCACCGTCCGCGAGGGCGTCACCCACGGCATCGCCTCCGTCTTCACCGAGCCCCGCTACCGCGGCAACGGCTACGCCTCCAAGATGATGAAGCTCCTGGGCCCACACCTCGCCACCTGGCAGGGCCGCGCCCTCGCCACCGCGCCGCCGTCACCCTCGGCCGCCTCCGGCCGCGGCAGCCCCGGCGGCGCCGCCGACAGCGACCGCGAGGTCGCCTTCTCCATCCTCTTCTCCGACATTGGCAAGACCTTTTACGCCAAGAGCGGCTGGCCCGCCTACGAGTCGGCCCACCTGTCCTTCCCGCCGGCCACGTCGGCGTCTCCAGAAACCGAGACGAAGCCGTCGCCGTCCGCCAACCTGACGCACATCGGCTACCACGAGCTCGCCGTGCTCTGCTCCCTCGACGAGCAGCTGCTCCGCGCGCAGCTGGCGCGTCCCACCTCCGACAGCCGCACGCGCGTCGCCCTGATCCCGGACCTCGACGCCACGCTCTGGCACCTGATGCGCGAGGACTTTATGACGACGCACATCTTCGGCAAGACGCCGACCATCCGCGGCGCCGTCTTCGGCGCGCCGGGGAACCGCGTCTGGGCCGTCTGGACGCGCGGCTACTACGGCGGCCTCAAGAAGCCCGAGGGCAACACGTTCCACATCCTGCGTGTCTCCATCGAGGACGAAGACGCCGCCGACGAGGCGTACCTGGCCGAGGCCATGGGCGCCATTCTCGGGCTCGCGCGGGAAGAGGCCGCTGCGTGGAAGGTGAACAATGTCGAGCTGTGGAACCCGACGGCGAAGCTGCGGGCTGCCATCGACAGGGCGGGTTTGCCACACGAGTTTGTCGACAGGCAGGACACGAGCATCGCGTGCCTCATGTGGTACGGTGATGGCGAGGTTGATTGGGTTGCCAACGAGAAGTTTGGCTGGTGTTAGTGCGTCTGCGGTTGGTGTAGGGGCAAAAGGGAGTATCGCTTGCAGTAGATGGCAGCATCGCAACCTCTAGAAATCAGTAGCAAACAGCTGAAGCATGCATGCGCGCCGCGTACACACATACAGATGAGCAGGGGAGTCTTCGCAACGGCAACAGGTTGGGTAACAAGAGAAAGAGAGAAAGAGAAAGAGAGAGAGAGAGAGAGAGAAGCAATGAGCAGGCATACCAAGGTATCATTGCGAAGTTGGTCCATCTATGAATCAGCTCTAGGTGTTCCTACACGTGCACCCCATTTTCATCCTCGTAGCGTTCTCGTCTCGGTTCGTCATCTCGTCTTTGTGAGCCCTCGGACCGCAGCCGCGCGCTGTCCTCCTTTAGTGGCCGTGGCCATCGTCCTCCTCGCCGCGCTGCTCGGGATCCAGCTTGATAAGTGTGTCGATGCGCATAATGCTGATGCACGCCTCCACGGCACTCTTGAGTTGCCTCGTCTTGCTGATCGTCGGCTCCAGCACGCCGGCCTTGATCTCGTCAATGACCTTACCGCGGGTCAGATCGAGGCCGTAGTTCTTGTAGGCCTTCTTCCGCGCCACCGACTTCTCGTCCTCGTTGCCCTCACCCTCCTGGATGCGCTGTGAGAGCGCGTGCCTCGAACGCAGTTGTGCCACGAGCTCCGACGCATCCTTGGCGGCGTTGACCGCCAGCGTCTTGGGAATCACAAGCAGCGACTGTGCAAACTCGCCGATCGCCAGCTGCTCACGCGAACCCACTGTGCCGGCAAACTCCTCGAGGTAAATGTGAAGCGCCGTCTCGACGGCACCGCCGCCGGGCACAATCGTGCCGCTCTCCAGTGTCCTCTTGACGGCGCACAGAGAGTCGTGCACAGAGCGCTCCATCTCGTCGAGCGAGAAATCATTGGGGCCGCGCAGAATGATGGATGCCGAGGACAGGGACTTGGTACCCTTGACGAGGATGCACTCATCGTCGGAGATGCGCTCCTGAACAACCTCCTCGGCGTGGCCGAGGTAAGCGGGGTCGAACTTCTCGTCGCCGTTGAGATCGGAGAGAGTGCTGAGAAGGGTGGCACCGGTCGCCTTGGCGATACGACGCAGATCCTCCTTCTTACACCGCCTCACACCCATGGCGCCACGCTCGACAAACATCTTCAGCACGAGGTCGTCGATACCCTTGGTAGTCAAGATGACATTGGCACCGGCCTTGAGAATCATCTCCACCCTGTCGATCACCATGCCAGCCTCGCGTGCGCGGATCTGCTCGAGCTGCTGGGGGTCGTCAACGGTGATCTGGACGCCGAGCTTCATGCGCTCCTTCTGGAGGTTCATGTCGAGAACGGCAATCTTAGCATCTTGTATTCTGGTGGGCATGGCCTGGGAGGCGACTGTGCAGTTGAGGGCGTAGCCCTTGACGAGGACCGACTCGAGGACACCCTTGCCGTGGGCCTTGAGGATGTTGACAGCCTTGACGGGGTACTTGCTCTCGTTGCGGTTGTTGGTCGTCTTGACGGACTGCATGGCGTCAACGACCATGTTGGCGAAGAAGTCGGAATCGGCGCCGATGATCTTGCTGGACATGGACGTCTTGGCGATGTTGATGAGGGAGTCGCGGCCGATGTTCTCAACCTTGGTGCTGATGTTCTCGTTCATGTACTTGACAGCCTCGCGCAGGGCGAGCCTGTAACCAGTAATGATGGTGGTCGGGTGAATCTTGTTGTTCATGAGCTCGTTGCCCCTCCGCAGCAGCTCAGCCGCGATGAGCACGACCGATGTGGTTCCATCGCCGACCTCCTTGTCTTGTTGTTGCGCCAGGTCGACGAGGATCTTGCCGGCAGGGTGCTCGACGTCGAGGAGGCTGAGAATGGTCGCGCCGTCGTTGGTGACGGTGACGTCCTGGGGGACAGGTCAGCTCAGGTCAAAGTCCAGGGGAGGGGAGGAAGGGGGGGGGGGTTGGTCAGCAGCGAGCCAGGGGAAGGCATACACCAATGTCGTCGACCATCATCTTGTCGAGGCCGCTGGGGCCGAAGGAGCTCTTGACGACATTCGCAATGGCCTGGGTCGCAAGGACTGAAAGAAAAAAACGTCAGCAAAAAAAGGAAAAGAAAGAGGCATCACGGAGATGCAAGTTGCGAGCCTACCGTTCTGGTCTCTGATATCACTGCCAGAGATCTTCTGGCCGCCGAGGAACAGGGTACCGCTCCCGGACTGCTCGAACATGGACGCCATCGTTCAAGGTGTGCAGGAAATCCGATAATGGGTGATGGAATGGGCTGCCGACGTCGGTTGTCGTGGGGAAGCAAGCTCGGATTTTTCGTGATGCCCGGTGCTATGCTGAAGGGGGGGTGGGTGGGATCTCCTGGTTCAAGGTCGATTCTGTCTCTGTGCCTGGACGGCGATGGAAGCTCCTGGTGCCGCTACGGACTGTGTGCCGCCTGGCAGCAGCAACTTTTTTTCGGTCGGGCAGTTCTTCCTGATGCCGGCGGGCTGTGGCTGATGCTTGTCACTCACCGCCTTCCCATTGGGCACAGCTGATTGGGCGATAAAGGTTCCAGCCACAGTACCCCTCAATGCGACGCACAGCCTTGAGCGGGCAGCGGGCAGCGGGCAGGCGCGTCCAGGGGCCCTGATCATTTGGGCCAGGTCCTTTTTCGTGCGGTGGCTCCTGCCGTGTTTCTGTTTCTGGTGCGGGGCAACTTTTATTGAGGGACCTCCTCGTACAGTGGAGGGGAGGGGCCAAGGCACATCGTAGTAGACCTCCCGCTGCCCAAATCATTCCCCTTCCTCCCCCCCTCCATCGCGTGTGTATGCCGGTGACTCAGTCCTCCCTTGGGCGTCCCTTTTCTTGCCGCCTCTCTCCATTCTTATCTCTTCCAACGACAACACTCGACCATCGTATCCATCCTTGATTGCAATGGCCGATTCCGAGCAGAAGCCCCAGGAGCAGCAGGCTCAGGCCGCCCAGGGGGACCAGCCCGCCGCCCCTGCCGGTCCCTCCAAGAGCGCTCTCAAGAAGGCTGAGAAGCAGGCCAAGATGGCCGCCGATAAGGCTGCAAAGGCCGCCAAACAGGCCTCCCTCCCCGTCGTTGGTGGCAAGAAGACGGACGACATCATCGGCATCACCGTCTCCAAGAGCGAGGACTTCTCGGCTTGGTACCAGGAGGTCGTCCTCAAGGCCGAGATGGTCGAGTACTACAACGAGATTGCCGGCTTTTTCATCTTGCGCCCCGCCTCCATGTACATCTGGAGCGCCATTCGCAAGTGGTTCTCCGACAAGATCGAGCTCATGGGTGTCGAGGAGACGAGCTTCCCCATTTTCCTGTCGTCCAAGTCGCTGGAGAAGGAGAAGGACCACGTCGAGGGATTCGCCCCTGAGCTGGCCTGGGTCACCAAGGCGTAAGAATCTTCCCATCGGCGCAATCCCCACGCTCTGCTGACATGCCTTTGTACAGTGGCGACAAGGACCTCGAGGTTCCCGTGGCCGTCCGCCCTACCTCCGAAGCCGTCATGTACCCCTACTACTCCAAGTGGATCCGAAGCCATCGCGACCTCCCTCTCCGTCTGAACCAGTGGAACTCGGTCGTCCGCTGGGAAGCCAAGCAGACCACCCCCTTCCTGCGCACCAGGGAGTTCCTGTGGCAAGAGGGTCACACAGCGCATCTGACGGAGGAGCTCGCCGGCAAGGAGGTTCTTGAGATTCTCGAGCTCTACGCTGGCGTGTACGAGCAGCTCCTCGCTGTCCCCGTCGTTCGCGGAACCAAGACGGAGAACGAGAAGTTTGCTGGTGGTTTCTATACTACCACCGTCGAGGGCTACATCCCATCCAACGGCCGTGGCATCCAGGGTGCCACGTCTCACTGCTTGGGCCAGAACTTCAGCAAGATGTTTGACATTACTGTGGAGGACCCCGTCAACAAGGGCAACCACATTCACGTCTGGCAAAACTCGTGGGGTCTGTCGACTCGTGTCATCGGTGTCATGGTCATGATCCACGGTGACGACAAGGGTCTTGTTCTGCCCCCTCGCATCGCCAAGATTCAGGCCATTGTCATCCCCGTAGGCATCACGGCCAAGTTGGCCGCCGAGGACCGCAAGAAGCTCGAGGAGGGCGTCGAGGACATCCGCCACACGCTGAAGAAGGCCGGTGTGCGCACCGAGTCCGACCACCGCGAGGGCTACACCCCCGCCTGGAAGTTCAACGACTGGGAGCTGCGCGGTGTGCCCCTGCGTCTCGAGTACGGTCCCAAGGACGCTGCCAAGGAGCAAGTCAGCTACGCTCGTCGCGACACTGGTGAGAAGGGCCAGATCCCCATCGCCGACCTGGCCACCAAGGTCCCCGAGCTGCTCGAGACGATCCAGTCCGACCTCTACACCAAGGCTGAGAAGTCCTTCCGCGAGCACCGCCTCAAGCTGACCAACTGGGACGAGGTTGTCCCCGCTCTTGATGCCAAGAACGTTGTCATCATTCCCTTCTGCCTCGACGGCAAGTGCGAGGACCGCATCAAGGAGATGACCACAAACTCGAGCCCTGAGAATGAGGCTCTTCCCGAGGGCAAGCGTGCCCCCACAATGGGCATGAAGAGTCTCTGCATTCCCTTTGAGCAGCCCGAGGGGCTCGTCGAGGGCGAGACCAAGTGTCTCAACCCCGAGTGCTCCAGTCACGCCAAGAAGTGGGTCATGTTCGGCAGGAGCTACTAAGTGTGCGACGACGGCAAGGCGGGTGACGACGATGGTGAGAGCGGGGACATGAGGTTGTTTCTGGTACACAGGGGATGTTTGGGAGTTCCGGGGATATCCATCAAATGCGGCATGACTCGGATTATGAGACCACGATGGCGGAATTTGTTCATCCTCTGGCTGAGGGCGGGTGAAAGAAGAAGACATGTCAAGAGATGTTGTTAGAGTTCATACAGGAAGAAAAATTCGTTCCATATGTTTTGTGGCAAGTAGAAGACACGTGCCCATCGTAACCCTGTCACCTCGAAGCTAAATAGTGCAAAGGCACCACATGTCACATTATAATCATCGCAGCAAAGCCGATCGAGTTCAAAACAGATCTCTTCAGACTAATCTCCTTTCCCCTATATCACTTCACTTCTCCTTTGCAACAATGGCCGGCAATCTTTCCACCTTACAGTCCGAGCGCAGAGTTGAAAGCCTGAGCAGCCTGTTCCCCCTCCAACCCACTCGCAGCAGCAGCACCATCTTCGCAAGCAGCGACGGTGGCCTCGCCGGCGCCGCACCGTGAGCCCAGCTGTCCACAGATGAAGCTTGTGATGATGTCGACGTTGTTGGCGCTGCCGTGGTCAAAGTCGCCCGCCGGCCCAAAGCTCGCCTCCGCCCGGCCGTCGAGGCCCTCGGCAAACTGGATGCTGGGGTCGGCGCACGCGCCAAAGTCGCTCTGGCGACGCACGAGGCGCGCGGCGCGGGCGAAGCGCATGCGGCCGTCGGCGCCGCGGGTGACGGCGCGCGCGTTGCGGCGGACCTTGCGCAGGCGGGCCGCGGCGAGACAGTCGTCCTCCTGCGCCGAGCAGGCGGCCGTGCCCTCGGCGAGCTGGCCCGCGTTGGCGGCGTTGAAGCAGGCGTTGTTCTGCACGGCGCAGGAGCGCGAGAGGGCTGCGTTGGCGGTCGTGAAGGTCGCGTCGCCGACGGAGAAGGGGCGGTCGGCGTTGGCGGCCGAGGAGACGACGGCTGGCGCGGCGCCGCCGAGGGTGCCGGTGAATGTCTGGATGTTGCTCTCTGTTGCCGTGGCGGCCTCGTCGCCAGCGGCGGCTTCCTCTTCTTCGACGGGGGCTGCGACGGCTTCGGAGGCGGCAGGATCGGCGGCGGCGGTCTCGTTGGCGGGAGGGGCGACGACGCCGGCGTCAGCACCGGCACCGGCACCAGCTCCGATGGCTTCGCAGACTTGACAACGTCAGTACGAATTTACATCGCTAAATCAACTTACGGGTACTTACTGGGAACGAGGGCATCGTTCACGTTGCCACCGTCAGCAATGCCAGCGGCGTCGCCCTCTGCAAGGACTTCGGCAACGGCAGCGTCGATCTCCTCAGGGGTCGCGTCAGGCACGAGGAGGTTCTCAGTAAAAATGCAGCCGACGGGGTCAGTCGCGTCGTTGCACGTAAAGCCAGCGGCCGTGGGGTCCCCAATCTGCAACAATGTCAGTCAACTTTGCCGAAACACGTCGTTGTATTGCCACTCACCTCGCCAGGGGGGAATGTCCCCGACTCGAGCGCAAGCTGGGGGTCAGCTCCGATAAGTGCAAGCTGCTGCGCCAGAGCCAGAGTGATGGCCTTGTTCTCCTCGGCGGCGCCCTCGGACGCGGGATCCTGGTGCTGCGAGATGGCGGCGATCTCCGGGTTCTCAGCCGTCTCGTTGCACAGAGCGCTGCGCTCGCCCACGGAGAGACTGTTGCGCTCGAGGGCGCGGAAGATGAGGGCGTTAGCCATGCCGTCGATGTCGCCGGCAGTCTTGGCGCCTGTGAACGCCGAGTCGGCAGTGATCTGCTGCAGACAGTCGGTGTTGGTCACGTCACCCGCACCGTCGGCAGCGGCGGCGGCACCGAGGAAACCAAAGACGGAGTCGGCAATGTTGAAGGGGTTGTTGAGCTGGAGGAGCTCGTTGACGGCGATGAGATACTTCTCGTGCGAGTGTTCCTGGGGAACCTCAGCAGCAGTGAGCCCAGCGAGGGCAGCAAGGATGGCGGTGTGTTGGCACTTCATGATGACTTTTTGGGAAGTTGGACTATGAGTTTTGGTGCTGAATAACGGACTGTCAAACGATGTAGACAAATAAAGAAGGGCCGGCCCAGCGGTTTGGAAAGAATGTTGATCGCAGGACGAAGAGAAGGGAAGCAAAGGAGGCTCACAGAACCGTAGAAAGAAAGAATAGGTCAGAAGGAGACTGTTTTGAGCTGATGAGTCCAAAAGCCCACCTCATACCTGGCGCGGATGAGATCGTCTTATATGGGCATCAACGACCACCAGAGTTGGGATGACAGAAAACCACTTGGTCGAGCGCTTGGCCTCCGTCTCATCTCACACCCTGCCCAGCTCGGTTGAAGGGGTCTAAAGCAGCATCCAGTAGGGGCAACAAGATGCCGATCATCAACAAACCGGGGGCAAGAGGCCGAATGAAGTTGTTTGAGATGAGCCTTGGGAGGATACTTCGGTAGTGACAAGATCCGAGAGCGGGCTGGGCCTGTCAGGAGCTCTGTATAATGCTACCATATTCAGAATAAAAAGTCTTGGCTGAGACTACACCGCTCGGTTCGGAGAGTCTGCCAGCCAAACTGTGGACCAGATAGCTATTGTTGATGGACCCTTATACAGATCCCAGAAGTGTAGGTCTGTCCAGATATCAATAACACACACATTCTTGGTGTTGCGGCGAAGCTGAAGACATCGTGAAGGCGAAATAAAATGGCAGTGAAATGGAGTACAACTGGGTTACAACCAAGCGATCCGCCAGTCAAAGACAGCTGCACATCAAAACTCTCTTTGCACAGCAATCTACTTCAGATCCATCGAAATAGATCTGACAGGTTGTAAGCGTGGCTCGCCCTGGTCACGGCTCACTGGGCACAAATGTCAAGAAAAGAGTCAATGGCGATCAAGAGGAAAATCAGACACCACCTGTCGCGTCAAACGTCTCATACGTAGGAACACTGGCGATTGGCTCTCAGACGCAGTGTGGCCCCTGGCAAGACAGGGGTCCCCCGGCCGCGCGCTGTGATGTTCCCAAGGCTGTCCTCCAACGCGCCTAGCAGTGGATGATGCACGGTTATGGATAATTGTAGCTCTGGTAGCTCTGGCTAGGAGACTCGGTCGTGACCCCCTCGTCATGATCTTCTTTTGCGGCCAGGGGGAAGCCGATGCGAAACTTGTTTGATTCGGTATCAACCAGATCTAGATTCCTTAAGGGATGGGCAGTTTTGCGGAGAGATCGGTCCGATCACTTGGTCTGCCGATTAGCATAATGCAGTGCTGCGTGGTAGCCCTAGGCTCTGGGATCACGGGCTAGACATGACTCTACATTCATCTGAACCATGGACCAAGTCAATGAGCAGCCCGCGTCTGCCTCGTCTCGTGTTTCTCCGTATGCTTGCACTTGGAAATGGGGAGGATTGCGTACAGACAAGCATTATGGCTTGAACAGTAGCATCACACGACAGACAATGCTGGAAACCCCATGCTTCCGTGATGGGGAGGTTCGAAGTACCAAAGTGAAGGCTCCAATTCGAGAAAGTATTTGTAGTTGCATGGTATTGACTGTAGCATCCTCATAATCAACGCTGCCACGAGCATGTCCATTGTGCGATATTCGGACGAAAATTGCCTGTATCATTTGCATGGTCATTCTCTTTCCAGTTCCCTGGGTGTACCTTCGTCATCGAGAAAGGGTAGGGGTCGTCGGCACGGGTCTGCATCTGTTTGTCATCGACGCAGTTGATGGCAGCCGAGATCTGGAGGCAGAGTGTGTCGAGGTTTGCTGATTGTCCAAATCGTAGGTGGCTGTATCGCAAATCCTGTACCCTGAGTCAGTACCTCGCCGAACAAGACTCACACCTCCATGGACCGCAAAAAAGGTGGTGTTTCGAGGCTCTCATTGTTCCCGGACGCTCGACTGATTATACAACATGACAAAGCGCATGCCCGGGCCATTGTCTAGGAAAAACGCAGTCTCCCCCTCATCCTCTCCCTTCCTGCTCGTTGCTTTCCACCGCTGATTCCCGCGCCGCCGGCAGATGATCGAAAAGAATCTATACGTCGTTGTGTATGTGTTTTCCGTCTTCGTCCGCCGTTTCTCCGAGGATATTCGTACAAAAGGACGTCGCCGCTGCCGCTTCCCCCTTTCAAGCCAGCAAATCTCGCTTTAACCGATGACGAGCTTGCCCTCCTCGGGGAAGTCGTATTCGGGGACCTCGAGGTTGAGAGGGGCAGGGCCCTTGCGGATACGGCCCGAGATGTCGTAGTGGGAACCGTGGCAGGGGCAGAACCAACCGCCGTAGTCACCGGCCTCGCCGATGGGGACACAACCCAGGTGGGTGCAGACACCTGGAAGAAGAAAAGGTCAGCGAGGCGCGCTCACGGGGGGAGCACGAGACGAGGGTTCGGTGTCGCCGGGAGGGGACGACATACCAAGCATGACGAGCCACTCGGGCTGCTTGACACGGTCGCTGTCGTTCTGGGGGTCACGTAGGGAGGCAACGTTGATCTTGTTGGCCTCGTCAATCTCGGCCTGAGTGCGGTGGCGAACGAAGACGGGCTTTCCGCGCCACTTGATGACGACCTGTTTTGCTGCAAGTCAGCGATGTTTGCTCCTCCACAAACCTGGGACGGGTGATGTAACGCACGTTCTTGCCCTCGGGAATGGCGCTGAGGTCGACCTCGACCTTGGCCATGGCCAAAACGTCAGCGGAGGCGGACATGTTGACGAGGAACTCTGCATCGCCGTCAGCAATTGAACTCGATTCAGCCATCAGAACCCCGTAAAACTCCGTCACACGATCCTCCTCTTGCCAGTCCTGATGCCCAATGGCGTCATGTTCGTCTCTTGCCCATCGCCTCGGCTCGTGGTGACGTACCCTGAACGGTAGACTTGGCACCCGCGGCCGTGATTGCGCCCATGGTGCCGACCATGAAGTAGGAGAAAAGGTGGTTCTTGGCGCCGCTGCCCTTGCTCATGTACTTGGAGAAGTCGGGAATATCATCGCCCTTCTGCGCACCCTTGAAGGGGCTCGAGTAGCTGTGGGGGGTGTAGTCGGCGCGGGCGGCCGTCGTGCTCAGCGCCCGGGTGGGAGCCGCCGCGGACCGCGAGAGCTGGCGCAGGCAGGTGCGGGAAGCGTTTGCGAGGGGCGCCATCGTGACGGTTCGAGGTCAATTGGGGGGGTTGTCGGGGGGGTGGAGTGGAGGTTGATGGGCAGATTCAAGGGCGGAAGCGCTCTTTTTTTCCTAGAGGTGGTTCGTGATGATGGTGGTTTGAGGATTGCCGAAGCTTTCTGTGCATGCCTGAGGCACAGGCTATGAAATTGACGGCTTTTGATTGGGCGTGCTATGGCCAGATACCCGGGCGTTTCCGGGTACCCGTCTATGACATATCTCCATAACTTGCATACTCAAGCGCCATAGGCATAGCCTTTCTCCAAAAGGAGTATTTCAACTCGATATTTGCATACCTACTTCATCAAGCATCCTCAAGTGTACGTGCGTCCACCAGGTCGGTTGTGTCTTGATTATCATACAATCGTCAGCTAGTGCATCCTTCTGAGCTCTTCAACCATGTTCCGCATCGCTTCGACAGACGGTCCCAATCCCTCCACAACAGCTTCTTGTCTAAGTTCATCCAAGTCCAAGAACCGCTCAATCAGCTCTCCGTCCACAAATCTGAACGGCGCTCCCGCCATCCTCTTTGCGTTTCTGAATCCCCGCCATTGGCTAAACGAGGGTCCCTCGTTGTCTTCGGGCGCGGCTTGGCCGAGGTAGCGCACGATCCCAGCCAGTCGTTCCTGGAAGGGCAGCAGGATGCTCTGGTACTCAGCACTGATATTGGCAAGGACATAGAGAGAACCGTCGACCTGCGTGCGTTCATTAGCGGTTGAAGACCAATCAGTTGTCGCCGAAAGGGTTGCTTACCGTTGCGAGGAAGGCCTTTGGGACAATAATGTCGCTCTCTGTCGCCGTAATCTGGAGCGGGCGGATCTTATTCACCTGCTCGCCCAGGTGCATCTCGCTCGTTGTGCGCATCTGCTTCTGATCGTGCTCAGTCGGCGCGTCCGGCTGACGTTCCAAAATCATGAGGTTTCCCTGCGCGTCCGCCTCCAGCCAGGATTCCTCGCCCAAGCTGCACACTGCTGTGGCCCAGATGTATTCAAAGTGTCGTGCCCTCTCTATTAGTTTGGCCTTGCGGCCGTCTTTTGCTGGTACAAATTCGACCAGGGTCATGGACTGCATTAAATCAGCCACTCCAATCATGTTGCCTGATATGTCGAGATCAACGGGAAATGTCGAGGGCCGGAATGTCGTCAGCTTCTCAAGCTTTCCAGATGTCGTCGAATCCTCGATGTAGTCGTATACTACCACCGTCTTGCTCAAGCCCGCCACAAGCTTGTCTCCCATCACACCCAGGCATCGGCAAGCACCCTTCAGTTCGTGGCTGACGATGAGGTAGGGGTTCCTGTCAGAGTCTATACCAAGCACCAAAATCCGACCCTTGACGTCGCCACTATCGTTGACGTCAGGGTCTGCGAGATAGCTTGTGCCAATTATGAATCTCTCGGCGGGCTGCCCTGTACTGTCGTCGAGTTCGGCTCGAATCACAGCCTCAACCAGCTCCACAGAGGCTTCTCCGCCAAGGGCAAAGGGCCTGCCGACCTTACCGAGCACAATCTCGTCTACGAGCTGGAAGGCACTTGAGACAATCTCTTCGTCGTGCAGAAGCTCTTTTCGGATGGTGCCGATACCGAATGCCTTCAGTGCCGGAGAGTAAGCCACCCGCCGCACAGTCTCACCGATATGAAGGGGGTTGACGTGAGTCCGGCGTTCGGTATCCACGTTGGCGATACGAACATTCTTGTCAGTAGCTAAAAAGATGGCATCGGGAAACCCCTCAGAATCAAACGGCGCAATGTGAGTCACGTCCTCGGCGGTGGCAGCCGAGTAGATGATCCGGCCCTCAGAGCTGTAAATCAAGCTCGAATGTTCGGTCGTCGCAAACACATTGCTCTGACCAGGGGCACCCGGTCGCGGCAGCACATGCAAGCCTGCCTCCCTGCTCCCCAACGTGACACTTTTCCTCGCCGTAAGAGAATAGTCATCTTTTGAGACGTTGATTGAAACCACTTGGCCGTCCTCAAGAGAAACGAATAGCGTGGGGCCTGCGAGCTGAGGCGGGTGCAGCTGGACCAAAGCGAGATCCCTAGGAACAGAGACGTTGTCGTCGTTCTGTTTGATGCTTTCGCCATGGAGTGCTTGCAGTGTTCCGAGGTTGATGACCGACACGGAGCCTGTCGACCAAAAGCCAATAGCGCCGATATCAGGGAAGTCTCGCGATGCGTGAATGCACGAGATCTGGCTGCCGTCGCCCCCGATACCGTCGCCCAGTGCTTGCTCTCGTACATCAAAGTTTTGAGTCAGATTCAAGGACACGAGGGTGCTTCCGCCGACAGATAAAAGTGCATACTTCTCGTTGACAGAAGCATTGACGATACTTCCCCCGTTGGATGACGTCCAGGAATTTATCGTAACACCGCTTTCCGAGTCTAGAAGAAGCGCGGAGGAAGCCGTAATTTGCAGCGTGTGGCCGTTGGCTAATGAGCCTGCGAACAAAGTCGGCTGGTCAAGTGTGAGACCCTGGAAGTCCGCCAGCTCTTCGACGCCGCCGTCGGCATCGAATTTGAAGACCCTCGTCTCTGTTATGAACGAGACGACAAGCGTGTCAACCTTTTCAGACCCATATGACTTGAGCGAGAATAGACCACGGACATCCTGTATGCCATCTAATATTCCAATGTCCTCCAAGCCGACGCTGCTTCGGATGCTCCTCAGGCTACCGTTGTGGTGCACACCGCAGCCCGCCACAATGCGGGCCTGTCCAGACGAGAAAGCGTTTCCAACCCCACTGTCGCCGGCGTTGCCCAGGTCCATAATGGAGAAGTCGAGGATTGGGGCGATGTTTGGTATTGTTTGGATCAGCCGTATTGTCTGAGCGCACAGGTCAAGCGTGAAGAGCTGGGAATCTCCATGGTGTGATCCCAGGAACAGAATCTCGTTGCCCATATAGACCAGACACGAAGCTCGTGATGTCTTTCCAATCGTCTTGAGCGACAGTCCAGTCACGATGACGCCGTCGACCTCGAGCGTCAGCAGGTGTAGGTTTCCGTAGTCGTCGGCGAGAAGGTATCGTGTAACATCGTACTTGGCCCACGAAACAAAGATCCTGGGTTCGTCGAGTGCCTTGCTAATCTTGACCTTCGTCAGGGTATCAACATAGATAAGCATTGTCTCACCAGCGACGATCAATCCTCCAAGCTGCGCGCTGGCATTTGTTGTGTCGCGGCGATGGTAACGCTTCACGTCTGATTCGACTATCGACACTGGGATGAGTGTTCTGGCGAACGGGTCGGGAATCTCGAGCTCGAGCTCCCGGTTCTTCAAAGGGTCGAACTTGGAAACGTTGGTGTTGCCGTCCTCCATGAGCCTGTAGACGGCCAGATGCGCATCCTCCCTATCGATGGAATTCTGGTAGAGAAAGGCGATGGTCGGATGTCCCGTCTCCGTGGGCACGAAGGTGCTTGCCTTCATGAACAGTTCGGAGAGGCGAACCTGAGCCCAGTCTTTATCAAGCCTCAAGTTTGCGCCCTTGCGCGTGCCCAGTTGCATGATGTTCATGACGCCCTCCCACAGGTGCATGGCGACGAACCTGCCCGCGGGATCGACGAGGCACTTGTCCTGGCTCTGGGCCTCGCGCATGTGCGGCTCTGCAATGTCCTGGATGACCTGCTCTGTGACGAGCTTGCCCGTTGTGGGGTCCCATCGCGCAGTGAAGTAGTGGAAGAGATCGGTACCGACGAACAGAATGTCGGTCTCGGACGCTTTGGGTCGGAGGGTTTGTAGGAGGGTGATGGTGCCGCAAACGACGGATGAGCTCAACAGAGTCAAGCCTTCTGAGGTGGGGCGCGAGATCTCAAGCCGATTGACCTTGCTGTCGCTGGCGGTTAGCAGTCGAAGCCGAGGTGAGGGAGGGGTGATGGAGGGGCGCAACGCACGCAGTAACCAGCACATCCTCGTCTGGCCACAGGCGGCTTGAAATGGCCAGGCGAATGCTGCTGGGCCGGTGAATGGGGACAATGTACGACATGTTGTCAGGTTGGGAGAGAGTAGTTTGCGAACAAGGTGTCTCCGGCCCCAAAGAATTGGGCCATCGACGCCGATGATGACGGGGAATGGAAGGAGAGAGCTTGGTCGGACTTAGGGGACCAGAGCTCCGGCAGCGCTGAGATCATGACCAGCGACCCCAGGCGCTATCGATAGCGAGATGCACGGACCAGTAGGGGCTACAATGTGAAGCTCACCTCACCATGATTCACGACTTTGGATTAGGTGATCATGTCAAGCCTTGTGATGCCTCATGCCGATTCATTCCGGCTCTCTCATGCTTTTCAGTCGGAATTCCTATTTGAAGGAGGTATCGTCTGCTATTAGTGCATTGAATTCGTATGACTGGCAATTAGGCTTGGACGCCATCAAGTCAAGAACAGAGGTTGGCGCACCAAGTCAGCATGCTACGTGTGTTCAACATGATCCAGACACAGCTCATCGATTCTTCTGCGACTTACAGAAATTATTTGAAAACGATTCTAGCCAATGGAAAAGGTGCAGTGATCTCTGAAGCTGCTGGTGCACCGACGTACCTGCTAGGAACTGGAGGCTGGCATTCACTGATGGCAAAACAAGAACGTCACGTTTGGTTAGATGTATACCATTTTGACTCTAGCAAAGCAGACTGACTGATTCAATGCCCACATCTGACATGAACATTCACCCCTTCGCCGGCCTCACCATGCCCCACGCTCGATAAGGCCTCTCAAGCCCAAACTGCGCAAGACTGACCACGAGCGGCTCGACATCCTGAAACCCAAACTTGGGATACAGCACGTGTCCCGGTTCCGAAGACTCAAGGAAGGTCGCCAGTCCGAGGCGATCCGCCTCGTCAGCGCCCCATTGCATCAGCAGCTTCCCAGCGCCGCGGCCTTGATGCGCGGGGTCCGTCACGAGGACATTCAAATCTATCGCGGGGCAATCAGCAACGCGTCTCCGTCGTTGGCGGATCACGCAATGCTGGGCCCAGACACTAGGGAAAAGGTACTCACAAATGCATTTCAGACCCTCGACGTTCTTCCTCAGACTGTCAATCCCGCCGTACATCAGCTTGGCAGCCTCGAAATTCATGCCGGGCGAAAAGGTTCTCTCCTTGGGCGGGGGCATGCCCTCGGCGTAGACCATCCATTTACCCCAAGCGACGATGGCGTTCGGGCCCTCAATCTCCGTGTCCGCCACGGCGATGAAGTGGATGTTCGGCTCCTTGGAAAGCGTCTCCGACAGCTCGGCCACGCGGCGCTCGTCGGCGTCGGGCGGGAAGGGACCTGGGTAGACGATGGGCTTGATGTGGCTAGAGTCAAAGGCGGCCGTCTCGACGACGATGCAGCGCTCAAGAATGTCGTGGTCCGATGCCTCAACGCGGCGCAGCTCGAGCGGCATGTTGGCGGTGGGTGTGATGATGTCACTCTGAATGGGGAGAGGGGTCCGTGGCGCGATTGTGAAGGCGATTGCAAAGGCGATCGTGAATAGGAGGCCTGACGGATAGCAAGAAGCGCAACTTGCGATAGGGAAGGTGCAGTTGCAGAATGGCCGGAGTCTTGAGACAAGCTTAAGGCTTCAACAGAACGGGGCTCCTGATGAGGACACGGAGGTTGGCACGGAGCGGGGGCCCGGAAAGGTGTCACTGATGGGGGCAGGCCCGGCGAATGACTCACGAAGGATCGGGTGTGCGGGGCGCCCCGGGAACGTTGGAATTAGGCACTGGTGTGAGATCTTAGTCGAGCCGATCCAAACGCTTGTGTTCTTTTCTTGCGTGCCACTTGTAGCCTAGAAGGGGCGAATACCCCCGACAGTCCACCTTGGATTAGGCAGGTGTTTAGTCTGTCAGATTCAGGACGTCATCAGGCTTGTTGCCACTCCCACTATCCCCCTTGCAACGCCTGTCAAACCTTTGTTAGGTATAGATCTTATCCAAACCAGTTCCTCCCCCGAAAGAACGTGTCCATGCATCTCAGTAAAACTGCCCTCTAGGCGTGTTGGGTCCAAAGTCGATGGACGTCAGCGACACGTCCTGCACGAATTGAGGATCAAAGTTCTTCAGGCAGTAGTCGACCACCATGTCGATGCCTGGGATCATCGGTCAGCACAGGCACCAGAAGCAAGAATAGGATGGATGCGTGCATGACTTACCAGCGCCAGCACCACCCGCAGTCCAAACCTCGCCCTTGCCCTCGCCCTCGTACACCTTGTCCTCTACGACCCACCGCTGCTCAACCCATTCAACAGCCGGATACATCTGCTTCGCACCGGCCAGGAAGTTGCGGTTCGTCGTGGCCTTCTTCCCATCCAATGCGCCGCTGCTCGCGAGCCACATGGAGCCCGTGCAAGTCGTCATCCAGATCCTCGTCTTGGGGAAGGCCTCCTTCATAAACCTGTTGGCGGCCGCCGGGCGGTGAGACGGGTACGGCCCGCCCGTGATGACAATGTCGAGGTCACGCGGACAGTCGTCGTAGGTGACGTTGGGGAGCCAGCGGAGCGAGGGCGTTGTGGGAGCCGGCTCGAGCGTGGTTGACATGTAGAAGAACTCAATGTCGATAAAGTGGCTGTCATACTTGGTGAAGGCCTCGGCAGGGATGTTGGAGGCAACCATCTCCGCCTGCATCTCGGGGGTCAGGGCCGACAGGTTGTTGAGGATGTCAATGCCGATGATGTCGGCGAGCTGGATGTTTTCCATCATGACGCCGACACGGACCTGCTTTCTGGGGGTTTGGGCGGCCATGGTGTTTCTTGTCCGGGTATGCAATGCTGTCAATATTGTGGATGAGTTGGTGTCTAACTCTGGGGCTTTGTGTGAGTTGCGCCAGTCCATCCTCGGTTCTTATACCTTGTGCGCTTTGGTACCGGCTCCCCAGCAGATCTTCCCGTTCCGAAGCCTTTCGGGTTCGAGCTCATCACAGAAGAATCAAGACATCGGCTGAGCCATGTTGACTCTTCGTCGAAGGCCGCAATCACGCAGGCAGCTGTGTCAGGGTATCGAAGCGTCGAAGACAGAGGCCGTCATTGCACGTGGTGGCTGCTGTTTCACCTGCCCGATTTGGAGCCTGCCCAGGTTTTGTCTCCGATGCGGCTCGGGGCGTAAACACTAGCCACGCCAAAGGCCAGCCCCAGTATCTCGCTGATGCCCGGCGGAGTCTGGTCTTCAATGGTTACCCCTGTTCTCGGCGTTGCAAGATCTTTTGGTCTGAATTGTTGAATTTCGTGGAAGTACATTGCTATCTAGCATTGTACTGAATTGCTACCGATGCACTGCAATGCACTACAACGCATAGCAGACGACATAGCAGATGAAAGCTGTTCAGGACAAAGTGGTATCCTCAGTCGTGCCGTTAATACCAGCAGCCAGCTTTTCATCCAGCTGCGTCACAACGCCACTGTTGGCCGGTTTGCCCAGATTCTCCGATACAGGCCTCACGACATCACACCTCAGGTTCTGCGCCGAGCTCATCTTCTCCATGTGCGTGTTGTTTGTCTGCACGAAAAGCCTCTCGCGCCCCTCGACCGTAAAGGGTGCCCACTCAGCGGCACCCTTCTCGCGATCGCTGTTGGGGTCGAGGTTGCGCACAAACGAGATCCAGTACTTCCTGAACTGCGAGACGATGGGCGCGTTGGTCGTAAAGTACGAGGCAGGCGGGCCACCGTCTGTGCGGCTGGGACCCCAGAAGGCGTACGTGTTGACCGTGTGGTAGGCGCCGAAGCCGTCGGCCTCATCCTTGGGGTCGAGGACAGCGTACTTGTAGTTCCAAGTCGTGGCTCCGTCACGCGCAAGGTATTTCTGGACGTTGCGGACGATGCAGTGGTTGCCAATGTCGCCGATGGCGTTGGCGGCCTGGCGCCACTTGATGCCCGAGTTCGGGAAGACGGGCTGCGGGACATCAATGTAGAGGTCATCGATGATGGCGAGCGAGTTGTCCGACAGCGAGGGATCATTGCCCTTGATGAAGCCGAGGGCCTGCTCCGTCGTATTTGTTGACTGCGACGCCGAGTACTTGGTACCCTCGTTGGCGCAAGTGCCCCAGATGGTCGGGAGCTTGGTGTACTTGCCCGTGCGGAAGAGGTTCACCAAACTGTCGGAGAAAAGCTCGCCGTCGATACTGGGGTTGAACCAGCAGTTGGACGACCGGACAGCTGACTGGTTCAGGGCGCGCAGACAGGAGAGCGAGTCGGCCGAGTCGGCGCAGCCCTTCTCCTTGGCGAGACAATCGTATTGTCCCTGTCCTTGCTCCAGCGTGCGCATCGTGACCCAGCCGCCTGACTCGACGATGCCTCCGGCGAAAGGCTTCTTCTTGCTTCCCGTGTTTGCAGCCATGAGTAGACCAACGGCTGAGCCACCGGCACTCACACCGTCGAGGACGACTTGGTTAGGGTTGCCACCAAAGTTGTGGATGTTCTTCTGCACCCATTCCAGGGCTTTGAACATGTCCTTGATACCAGCATTGAGCGAGCCGCCCGCGCGGACTTCCTTGCTATGGAGAAAGCCGTACATGCCGACGCGGTAGTTGATCTGCACGACAACGACATTGCCGTCAGCTGCAATCTCGCTGGCATCCCAGTTGGCGTTGGAGTTGGAGGAGAAGCCGCCACCCTGAAGAAAGAAGACGACGGGCAACTTTGAGTTCTTCGAGGCCTTGGAGGGCGCTGTCACGGCCAAGTACAGGCAGTCCTCGTCGACTGTGAAGCGATCATAGGTACCGGTGACGGTCCAGTCCCCCGGCTGCTGCGGGGGGCAGATGGGACCGTGGGCTGATGCGTTGACCGTGCCTCTCTGGAGCGGGTCGGCTGGGGCAGCGAAACGAAGCTTGCCAACGGGAGGGGCGGCGAACTGGATGCCCTTCCAACTTGTGACGCCCAGCGCCTTGTTTGTCACGGCTCCCTGAAACTGGGCGTACCCGACGTCAACGAGAGGCTGGACGGCTTGGACGCCGGATTGCAAGAAACCTGTGGCGGCCAGCACAGACGTGAGATGAGATGTCACCTTCATGG